AGGGGCAGGGGGGGCTGCACCTCCAGGGGGGGCATCTCAGCCCGCGGGGGCCGCTCCCCCCGCCGCCTCCTCCTCCCTGCCCGCTCCTCCCCCGCTCCCCAAGGGTCCCGTACAGCTCAAGGTGAGGGACCTGATCGGGATGATGAGTGCGGATCCGCAGCTTAGCAAGAGCCCGCTGCTGTACACGTGGCAGAGCCAGGAATCCTTCCGGGAGTACAACCGGGAGAGTGTGGCCCGGTAGTGTTCATGGTGGTGGTACCGGTGGTGGTGGGTTGTGGTGGTGGTGGTGGTGGTGGTGCCGATGGTGGTGGTGGTGGTGGTGGTGCCGGTGGTGGAAGGCGGCTCGAAAGCGCGGACTGAATGGCTGTGACGGTGGCAGACGGGATGCGGGCAGGAGGGAGCGGGAGGGAGCGGATGCGGCATGTGCGGGTGGTGGCTGGGTGACTGGCTGCCCATCCCAACGAGGTGTCGAAGAGGGTGCTCTACGAGGCGCCGGCTGTTCTTCTGCCAGGACTTGCTTTTCTGCGGTTACGAGGCTGAGGAAGGGGAGTCGTCCAGGCGGCGGCGGTCCTTACCAGCAGCAGCAGCAGCAGCAGCAGCCCCCCCCAGCAGGGTAGTAGTGCGTCCCTAGGCAGAGGCTACAAGCAGGAAGGAGATGAGGGAGTTGGGACGATCGGCGACGCGGGTCGGGTGCGGGGGGGGGGGGAGGGAGCCCGTCGCGGCATGCTGGCCGTGAAAGGGAAAGATGGGGGGAGGCGGAGAGAGAGAGAGGGGGGAGTGACCCTGGTAACAGCGCACAGCGTCACGGTCTGGTTGAGCAACCAGGCTGCCATTTGGTAATAATGCGGGTGATGGACCGGCTGTTGCTGCTGCGACGTGCTGCTGCTAGGGGGGCGGCAGAGGGGAGAGCTGTGCAGGGAGAGATCAGGGGAGACCTGGGTAGGGGGGCGGGAGGGAGGGAGCGAGTGAGGGAGGGAGGGAGAAAGGGCACTGTACGGCTGGTTTCGGGGCGAGGCCGGAGCGGATAAAGACCGTTACAGAGGCGGGGGTTTCTTTTTTTGGGTTTTTTTGGGGGAAAAGAGAAAAGGAGATATAGCGGGTGGTGGCGGTGTGCAGGCGGGACCGATGGGTTGCCGCAGGCTTGAGCGGCGCCCCCCTCCCTTACGTGTGTCCCATCGGGTTACGGTCATGCGGATATGTGACGGGTTTTGCGCTCTGGTAATCGTCAATGGCATCGTCGTTCTGCGGAAGGCGGCGAAAATTACAGCCAGGGCCGCACGGCGCCTTCCAACCAACAGCTGATTCCGCTTCTGCATCATAGATTTTAATGTACTTTCCGTTTGTCCTGTCGGTGGTTGGTGACGGTTTGTTGGTTGGGCGGTTGTCAATCAGCTGTTGACAGCTCTTGGTTCATAATGTCTCCCTTTTGTGCTTTGGTATTTAAATCCCTTTGGGTTTTGGCTGGAGGAGGTGGGGGAGGGGTTTAGGAGGCGCTTTTGCATTTTTCATCTTTTGAGTCTCTCTTGCTGTCCGGAACCGGGACGTCCTCTCCACCACTGTTGAGCAAATCCCGTCTTGACCGTGTAGGGGTCCTCGAACCGGGGTCCTTGGATCGGAGGGTTTTCTGTCGCCCCAATCTCTCATGGTGTGTTTGGTACTAGAGTGTTGCTGTGAACAGCGCCAATCTGTCACAGTGGATGGCGCGCCGCTCCAAAAAAAGGTATTGTACACCATCGTACTTGCAGTCAGTCTACACGATCCGGTCATTTGACCAAAGTCCCCTTAAGCCGCTCACTTGTTAGGAAAGAAACCGAAAGAGCCACGGCAAAAAGAAATTGCAAATCCGGGGGAGGACAGTACGCGAAAGCAGGGCTCAGCAAAGCACGTAATTAGGGTCTGGCCAAATCCAGTCGAGCAGTGGTAAAAGTGAGCCCTGGAGTTCAGGGGTGTGGCGCTATTCAGCTAGGTGTGGGCGCCCACACCTTGCTGAGATATGGCACAACCCTGGGTCCGCAACGCGGGGCCGACAACAGTTTACCCGCCCTGCAAATATTATCTGGCCTGCGAGTCACACTCTTTTCGGAACTAAGGAGTTCCAAATGAGAGCAATTCTGCGGGTTCCCTTTCCCTTGGTCCCGCATAGTTGTGCAAACGGGTGTGCTGGCTGCTGCGCTTGCGCTTTTATTCACAATTTCCCCTCCGTTCTCGGCTCGTTGCGCTATACTCTCCATTCCCGCCTTTTCAGCGTTTGGGAACATATTGGAGGTAATCTACTTGTTCCATTCACGTCTTTGCTTCGCTACTTCCGCTGCATTTCATCTTCATATTCGTCTACATCCACTCACTGCTTATGCCTTCACCTGTCCAGTCGCAGGCAATATCTGCGTTTCTGCTCCTCTTTCCTTGAAAATCATTGCAGTGTTGTTGCTGTTAGGCTTAGAACCGCCTGATTCTTACACGGATCGCCGCTTTGCAGGCCCCTCTTATCACCTGCTAATTGCTCCTGCCCCTCATGCCCGCAACTTGATTACGGTACTTACGGGCTCGGATGTGTACGGTCATCGCATCCAGGCTTAGGGCACGGCCACTTGCTGCCCAAGGGACAAACAGCCTAAATCTTCATCGTGTTCGACCTGCTCACAAAGAAATGAGTCAGACAGCGCGGATCGTCTTCAGTGATATCGATGGCACCATTATGCATGAACCGAAAACGATTGATAGGGTGCGATTGGCAACCCTCTATGGAGTCCGACTGTAACTGAATACTTAATAAATTGCAATGGATTCACTCTTGCACTGGGCTTCTCCTCCTGCAGGACGCAGCTGTCCTCTTAACCCCGCCGTCGGCGAGTGGTCGTCAGGTGCGCCAAGGGGGCGCACTCCGCACCCAATAAATTGCAGGGCGGGGCCCTGCCGCCCGCTTCCCTGTCGCCGTTTGCATAGCTCTCGCATCGCGAGGTCTTGCCACGTATCCCCCCTTCCAAGGCCCTGTCCTGCCCAACTACCGCAATACGACGTATCAGATACGCAACACGCGCAATCCGGAAGCCGAACACCTCCGCTCCCCTGCCCCACCACAAAATACACACACACACATACCCAACCACCAAAGGCCCCCCGTCCAACCCCAATTCACCCGTCCACTCACGCATGTATACGTAATACATACGGGCGAACACTCAACAAACCTAGGCAGGGTTTTCTTGTCCCCACCCCGGGAAGAAACCTCCCTACTGCTTGATCTGTCTGCCCTGTCTCTGCTACTCTTCGTTGTTCGGCCAGTCATTGAATATACTTAAAAAAGGTTCGCCGCCCGCTAGTCACCAGTACCGCCGCCGCTACTGCAAACCCCCACTACGCGCACAGGGGGTTATCTCCGCCGCCACTCTGCACCTTGTCGCGCAACTTCGCTCCCGGGGCGCTCTCTTCGTAGTCATTACAGGCGCCCGCCTTTCCACGTTGCTGATGAGGCTGCCGTACCTGCCAGCCGCGGACGCGTACGTTTGTGAGAATGGCGGGCGCATTTTGTACCCAGGCAGTGATTTGCCAACAGGTACAGCTGCATTTGTTCCTTTCCTCATCCCATGTATCCATGTACTCATCCAACCCGGGGGGTGGGGTCGGGGGCCGCCCACCAACAACAGCACATGGGTCCCCAGAGGGGATGAAGCTCTCCGGGCTCTCCGGGCCCTCAAATAACGGAGCATTCCCTTAAATTATGTTTGTAGAATGGTTTAGTTCTTTGAGACGCGACCATCGGTAACTGGCCGACGCGTTATTTTGCAAGCAATAGCATTTCCTCGAAACCGAACCTTACCTTACCTTTTAAGACCTGGCACATGTACTTACATACATATGTACCCTTACACACATATACTTCCATACTTCCATACATACATACACACACAGCTTGCCCCATCACGGAGGACGCGGAATGGCGCTCCTCACATGATCAGGTGGTGGGATCTGTGGAACAGGATGCCGTACAGCCCAAGGACAGAACGGTATGTTTATAAAGGTTGACGTAAACGGACATACGTACGTACATACGCATGTGCACACTGTGACGGCCCGCCGACGCGCGTGTGGGGGCTAGACAGCAAAACATTGGCCGGGGGCTGCTGCTGCTGCTGCTGCTGCTGTTATTTTGCGAGCTATGCAATCTGGGAAGTTCTGCTGTCTGGTTCTGCCCCAGCCTGGAGTTCCCTGGCATAGAGATGCTGCGCTATCTCACCGTCTTGGTTTGGATCCAAACTGGCTTTTGAGTCATTCGAACAGTTGCTTTGAGAGATCGGTCAACCTGTTGACTGACACGACTGCCATTACTGCTGTCCTGCAGGGCTCGCTGTGGGAGCTGTACCGCCGGCTTCTGGCGGAGGGATGGTACCTGGACGCGAACGGCTACACCACCAGCTTCAGGTGGGAGGGTGGGAGGGTGGGAGCCACTCCGCGCATCCTGTCGGGCTCTCGCCTCCTTCGCCGCCCCTCCCTGGCCCAACCCTGGAGCCCCTCCCTGGCCCAACCCTGGATAGCGTAAAACGCTGAAACTCTTCCCAGTCTGATCCTCCCGTACGTGTCGTACATACCCTGACCCTCCCTCAGGGTACATGCTCGTGGCGACAAGACTATGGATGACCTTCGCGGGTTGGCGGCTTTCCGGTCCGAGGGCCTTAGCTGCTCCTTCAACCTGGGGGCTGCGGACTTCTACCCAGCTACCAGCGGCAAGGTAGGGAGGACACACGGCAATCAGACCTACAGCTACAACTTCACTACAGCTCCACAACCACCGTGCCGTGCCGCAACAGCCTAACGACATTTTTAGGATCTGGATCTGGATTGGATGGTGCGGGAGCCAGCCCTGCCGGTGGATGGGCTCGGATTTATTGTAAACCTCAGTAACCTCATTGTTTAGGTAACTGGGTATGCCGGCAGTTGTGCCAGTGAATAACTGTAAGTGTACGAACTGAATAAGTGTACGAACAACCAGCCAACCAGCCAACGGACAGTCCAACCCATGAACTATCTGCTGGAAAGTGGCCGACACCCCCTCGCATATATAGTACCAGTGAATGGCGACAGCAGTAATGCGACCCGAGGGGGGTCCGCGGTGTTTTGATGATTCCAAGATTAACGACCCTAACCGTTATCTGCAACTAAACTAAGAGAACATCGCTACTTTGCTGTTGCAGGTGATGGCAGCGCGCCACCTGATGGTTCGTTTCGGTGTCGCCGCTAAGGACTGCTGCTTCTTGTGCGATGATGACAACGATTTGGAGCTCGCTAGGGAGGTGGGACGAGCCTTTCTGCCCAGCATATCTTCGGTGCGTTCGTTGAAGGGAGCGGGAGGGATGGAAGGAGAGGGAGGGAGGGAGAGGGATGGAAGGAAGGTGTCGCTGTGTTGTGCCAGTTACGCCGTTTGACAGCCTCATTCACTACGCCACCACCATCACTACTAGCCATTCACCGTCAGACATCACCTACCGTCTTCACGGTAAGGGCCCTGAGTGGGCCAGTCGTGTGGCTTCGTCACGCCTCGTCAGCAACTGGTTGAGAGGCACCCGTACGGCCCGTACTGCACTGCATCCTTTCTCAGGACTCTGTACGGCAAGCGGCGGAGGCTCGGCCGGAGCACTTTGTGGTGGCCAAGTGCGAGGGGCAGGGCGTGGCGGCGACTGAGGAGATGCTGCAGGCGGTGATGACGCATTACGACCTGCAGTAGCTCTGTGATTGGAGCAGCAGCAATGCAGGAGGGTAGTGCTGTAGATGCATTTTTATCGCCAAGGTGATACAAATTGAATGCTAGGGATTGCTGGAGGTCAATTACGTCTGACCGAGATTAACCGGACGGGTGACGTGGCGAGACGTAATAAAGGGAACCATGCAGAGGTCGGCAGGCTGCAGGGTGGCTGCAATTAGGCAGGAATGAGGGAACGAGTCTTCGGTCGGCTTGCATGGAGAAAACCGGCGATCAGTGCCCTATGTCCCAATGGGCTGTTGGATTCTTGGAGGTTCCTTGCAGAGAGCGAGCCGCATGTGGGGCATGACTGAGGAGGGGGCAGTTGCCGTTAGTTGCACGGCACGTTTGGTGGGCACGTATCGAACTCGGTACTGCAAACTACGAGGATGACGGGTTGATCATAAGAGCTGGTTTATGCTTCTGTTGATGTAGCTAGGTTATTACGGACTTGCGCGAGGTGATGAATAAGGTTGCCTGGCTGGCCGACCGGGTGGGCACCGCATGCATCGGAAGGAGCGTTGACGATTGCCATGTTGTGGCGATATCTCTTGTGGCTCGTGGCTCATGGCGCGCGCGATGTATTGATTGCCCTCAACCCTTTGACGAGATGCTCCGGCCAACGGTGACAACTGCCACAGCGGAAAACATGCCCGGATCAAGGAAGCAGAGGAAATACTATGATCCTATCAGGATAAAACTTACTTCATTTCATTGTAATCTTGTGATAGCCCACTATGTCGCCGATGCTCACTTCAACCAACTGCGTAAAGTGTGTGGCCTTCAAGGCCGGTCCAATCCGAGTCGTGCGGCATGGACACCAGCTACGGGTAGTACACAACCTAGCGACCAAGCGCTCTGGTACATTTTCACTTGAAACCTCTTCATCGTCGACCAGTGATTCCCATGCGCTTGGCTTCGTTGAGACAGCAGCCGCGGCGCTAATTGCAAGCGGCGTAATTGCTGGAAGCTGCCTTGCTGCTGATGCACCAGACGGCGCAGAGCAAGTGGTCCAAGCAGCAAAACGTGCATCCGATGTCTTGCGACCGCTCTTCAACATCTTCACAATTCTTTACATAATCCGCGTGCCCATGACGTGGTACCCTGATATCGATGGCAAGAAGCTTCCCTGGCTCGTAGCTTACGTCCCCACGGAGCCCATCCTGAGCGTCACCCGAAAAGTCGTCCCCTTGGTCAGCGGTGTGGACGTCAGCCCCATCGTATGGGTCGGCCTTATCAGCTTCCTCAACGAAATTCTGTTGGGACCCCAGGGCATCCTCACGCTCATCCAGGCGCGCGGGGGCCTTTAGGTAGAAGCTCCTTATAATACTTGAACGCTTGAGGAGCTCCTGCTGCTCGCCGAAGCGGAACGGATGCAGGGCTCATGTGGGAAATGCGGACCCCACGCAAGCTAGGATAATCGGAGATTTGTGGGTTAGGAACATTGTCAGGCAGGCGGAGGTGAGGCGGGTCATCGGGGGGAGCCACCGAATGGCAGGACCGGACGATTTCGACGAGGAGGACAACGAGACTGACTGCCGCGACGGTATCCTTGGTTTGCGCGATTCACTGTGTGAACTTTGCCGGTGGTCAATTCGGGGCTCAGGGGGAGCGGACTCGACCCTGTAGGGGGGTCTACGTGTGCCGATGCATTGTGATGCGGGGCGGAGACACTTGCTGACCATGTTCCCTGCCTCCAGAGAGAGAGTAGCACTGCTGGGGAAGCGAGGCGTGTGGCTCCCGGATTTACGGATTTTATATGAGCGGCGAAGGAACCGAATCCAGATGTTTCGTGAATGTCTCATGAGTGACCCCCTAGGTGCTGGTCCTGGTGCTAATCGCCAATTGCGACACCTGCTAGCCCCCCCCACCTAGCAAGGCCCTGGGAGAGGGGGCGCGTTGATATGGCCCCCTAGCAGCTGGTGGGCTGTGCGCGGTGAGCTATACCTGGTGAGCCCTACGCTGTGTCCTGTGTGTGTTCTAAGTGTGTTTTGCTGTGCTGTGACGCGACAGGGTGAACTTGGCGTGGTAGGGCGTCTTAGCGACAAGTGCTGTGCTCACATCCCGTTTAGGAGTTAGGGGAAAGCGAGGGGCACGCACTCCGCCGCTCCTTGCCGTGCGACGTAACGCCACGTAAACTTCGGCGCGTGGAGTTGATGGCGGCTCTCTTCCCGCATTTATGGCCCAATGTTGTACCACCAACGGTATCGTACGGCATTTGGAAACTTCCCTCAACACTCCCAGCACTCAATACTCACCAAAAGGCCTTTACTCGTTATCCGACATGACAATATCGCGGTGGAAGTAGACAAAGGTCACAGTTGCTTTTTGCCGTTCACCTTACGGTGAAAACACTGTACACAATCTGTGAGCAGCGGAAAGCGCTAACGGAAAGTAACAGCCAAGATAGGTATGACCTAGGACGACAGCTGCTTCAAGTTGTCTTCCTGCTGCAGCACTGACTGTTGAAATTGGCCCAGCCTTGTGACAGCACAGCACCGTCACCCTCTTCCGAATGAAAACAATACGAGAACAACAAGAACCTGCATTGAGGAGGCGGTGTTTGCAACAACCTGCCAGCTATCGTCCCAACCCTAGGGGCAAAGGAACTCCACCCACCCACAACTTGCTGCAACAAAGCGCTCCTCACACGTCTAAACTCTTGCGCGGCGCCAACAAGTCGCACTGCCTCACTGCACGCGCACTCCTAATTAAAGCACGGCGTTTGAAGAGTAATAGCAGATTCGATAGGCAGGAAGGGCAGGAGCATGCAAACCCCCTCCTGCGTCCAAGGCTTGCTAGCCTTCCTGCTGTTGCCCTAAACCCCTTTAGTTCCCTTTTAGCGGATGAACCCACCCGACCACGTCGTCGCAATGTGCGCAACCGTTGGTCGTTAACAAAAACATTTGTAATTATGCACCATGGTATGCAATATCAAAACTCGCTACCAGCCGAGAGCACCAAGGGTTTATTTTTTATCGACCCGATTGCCATGCTGTTAGTGCCGTACACGACACATACATTCGCAGACCATTCATGTACAGAGTAGCTTCTCATCAGGCTGGCTTTTGAGCTTTCATTACGTCTCCGCGGGTGCACACCTTCCCGTCCTTCACGTCCCCCCCCGTAGCGTATGAGTTCCCTGCTAGCTGGCTGGCCACTATCTTCTGCACAAATCGGACCCACACCCCTCACGCTGCGTGTCGTCCATAACAACCAACTGCCGAACCAACGTGGCTATACGGCCTCCGTGATGGGGAAATGGCACCCACTGCTACTCCCTCCCCATCGTCGGGACTAGGCCAAAAAAAAAACCGTTGGCTGGCGCAATTTCATCGACCGACGAAATCGAAGGATTGGGGAAAAATGGGAGATCGGCTCAAATACCCTCGAAGAGTATCTGACCAAATCTTCCCGTGCAGGATTTGTCCTCGGGTCTGTCACAGTCGGCAACCCGACAGAGCTCAGCTGCTACTACAGCCAAACATCTTCACCATCTTCCCAAGTTAGTATCGTACAGGGTGTACTACACACCATGATACGGCCGTTGTACGCCGGATTCATGCACCCCGTCGCTTCACATATCCCCAACGGCTTCGCCGTACCCTGTTGCTGATCAGGGGGCTGTAGCTCCAGTAGCGCCGTACAGTACCTCGCTGTCGTATACCGCCGACCTACAGATGCTTCCGTACTGTCCGTGGGTACATTTGCAAAGGGGGGTCGTAGGGCCACACCCCACATAGGCCGACAAGAGCAGCCGGCCGGCAGGCCCTGGTAGCCTGTGGAGCAGTTGAAGGCAGGGGTGTCACCACCACCGGAGAAGCCGCCGGGCGTTGCGGGTGGAGGCGGAGGGCTGGGTGGCGAGCTGGGTGCCAGGGGGCCCATGCTGCCGTTCCGCGGGCAGCGGACGCCGCAGTAGTCCCAGTTGCGGCCCTGCAACGTCGTGTGACCGGACTTGAGGCGGCACCAGGAGCCCTGGGGGGCAGTGTGTCCGGGTGGTAGTGTGTCCGGGTGGTAGTGTGTCCGGGTGGTAGTGTGTCCGGGTGGTAGTGTGTCCGGGTGGTAGTGTGTCCGGGGGGTAGTGTGTCCGGGGTAGTGTTGACAGGCGGAGAGGTACAGGGGGGTTTAGGACTGGGAATGCAGTAGTTATTCATGAGGAATTTACTTTGATTGCATTAAATTATTTTCAAAGATCGTATGCACTTTAAAAACATGTTTATGTCGTATCGTTGCTGGTTCGTAGCCGACATGAAGATACATTTGTTTCATTATTACCAATTACGTTTAAACCGTGAAGACGCGAACATGATGGAGAGTTGCCCCATTAGGAAACATATAAGTTTCCTCCAGGGGTCCAAAGACGCATAAGGCCCCAAGGAACAGGCGGCAATGGATTGGCCGCGATCTGTGAGCCGTACACTGGACGACAAAGTACACCGTACCTGGGGGTCGTTGTCAGGGTTGGCACAGCCGTAGAAGATCCTGTCGTACTCCCCATTGACGTCCACCAGGGCCCATGGGTCACTGGTGCACGTGGATCCGGATTCCGTGGTTCCCCCGGGTCCGCAGGGGATCCTGGGGGTTGGGGGCCTGGGGAGTGGGAGGCGGGGTGTGACGGGGCGGGGTGGGGGCTTGAGATTAGATCGAGTTCGGATTCACGAGGATATACAACCTAATTCGACGTTTTCCGATTAACAATTTGGGTTTGGAGCATCTGGACTGATGATAACCAGGTTCCGTGCGGGGGGCTAGGGGGTCTAGGGTCGAGTTGGGCGGGTGGTGAAATGAATTTGAAAGTGGAAATTGGATTGAGCTGGTTTAAACTTTGTCAATTTGGGATGCGAGTAAACTAACCTAGCTAGGTTGGGTTGGCGGTTGCTGGTGCCGTACCAAAGATGGGTGGATCATCATGAAAAAAGAACGATGCTAGTCCGATGCCGTTGACGGTTATAGAGGCCGTGTTGCGTCAACGGAATAACGATCCTGGTCAGTTGGATGTAGGTGTAGTAAGGTTGTAGTGTACGGCAGGCACATGGCTAAACGAGCACAGGTGTGTTCTCCGGCTCGCGATGCAGCATTACCGCAGCATGAGCTTTATACACACCTACATAAATATAAATACATATGTACGTATGTACGTATGTACATATGCATGTCCGTGCTTACTTCGACGGTGCAGCTGGGACCGTCCGGAACCCGTCTGGCGTGCATCGCTCCTCCGTGGCATCCGCCGTGCAGTAGTCCCAATAGCCGTTAATGGCGGAAGGGCAGTTGCCGTCCTGCATCGGTGACGGCCGAGGTGTTGCGCGGGGATAGCTGAGGTGGTAGTGATGTTGCGGCCAGGGTGGAGGAACACACTGGCGGGGTTCTACACAAAAACACGTTGTAAATGCGCGGTGGTACAACTTAGGGTTCTTAGCCCGCCTCATCCCCCCACACCCCACCCGAGCAGCCCCGTCAACCTCCCGGCCACGCCCCCATCCCCAACCCCCCCCGCACGCACAGCCCTCTCCTGAATCCCGCCCTACCTGCTCCACCGGACACCACATGCCCTTACTGTCACCATCAGGATTGGCACACCCGTTGAGGTGCTGCCCCTGGTAGCTCCAGGTGCCCTTGCACTGACAGCCTGCCCGGGTGACCTGCATGCATGCACACGCGCGCGGATGCATGTACGCATGTATGTGTGTATGTGTGTGTGTTGAGCGAACCTTGGCCACGGTCAGGATTTCGGCACGCGAGTTACTTTACCAATGGAAGTAGTCCAGTGAGGATGTGTCTCTGTGTGTATATATATGTGTATATATATGTGTGTATATATGTGTGTATATATATGTGTGTGTATATATATATATGTGTGTGTATGCATGAGGGAGAAGAGCAGTGGTGGTTGAGGGCATATGATGTTCGTATCTGTGCTGCTGTGGAAGGGCTATACCCCCCGGGGACCTGGGCAGTTCAAAACTGATAAAATACCGGTATGACGATCTTTAAATGAGTCTGGTGATGCGGTAGTGGTTGTGGGTCTTGCAGTGGTGGCGCGGAACGAACGCAAAGCAAAACACAGGCCATCCTCGTACACACCATGCAAGGGCCTCCTTTATTGGCGGGGTTGGGGGCCTTGGGCGGGGCCTTGAAAGCAGCGGGGTTGAGGGCTCCGAAGTACTGCCCCCAAATGTACAGCTTGCGTTGAACCTGGTTCGCAAAGTTGTGCATGTACTGCATTTGACCTGTACGGCAATCATGATGATCTATGATGGTGATGATGTGGTGTGTAAAGAGGGAAGGAAAGGCACCGAAGCCGCCCTAGCAAGTTCGCCTCCCATCAGTCCCGCTAAGGTAGGACCCGACATGGAGGTTTGAAGTTTGCCTGGCAAGTCTAAACTTTTGCTGGAATGCTATTAAAATTAAGGTCATGATCAAGGTATTTGTGAAACGTGGAGCCGGAAAATGAGCAACAACTACGAGGCAAGGAAGTACAACAATAACGTTACCCTCCCCAACAAACAAAACAAGAGCCAGTTTCAGTTTCCGTCGGGTCTGTCGCTTCACCGACCTCAATATTATCCAGGACCTTCTCGCAGTGGACCGTGTTCCCCACCTGCCGTGGTGTGCCCCAGCGCGGCCACACACACGTCGTGTGTGTACGTGATGTAGTTGCCCAGCTCGTCGTTGCCGCGCTCCAAGGGGCAGGAGTCGAAGCCGTGGGTCGCATCAGCTGGCGGGATTCCCAGTCGGTTGGCCCACACCTGGAAGCCGCATTGTTGGAGGCAAAAGGGGGTTAGGGGAGGAGGAAAGGAGGAGGGGATGGAGGGCGGCCAACAGGGGGAGGGGACCAATACAGATGGGGAGGGGAGGGGAGAGCGGGTGAGCGGGTGGACGGGAGGGAGAGATGACAGACATGACATGCGTGCATGCACTCTCCCTTCGCGCCGTTCTGCACCTCTTCTCACGCATTTTTACAAGGCTGTCTAAAGTTGATCTGAGGTTTTTGTTCCTTATCAGCATTACCATCCCGTGAATGGTTGCATGTTGCGGTGGCGGCTGCTGTCACGCTCGACAAAGCTGTTCAGTTTACTGTCCTGGGCTCCCTACTCATCACGGTCATCATCATCATTCTATTTCCGCATCCATCAGGGATCAGTCCCCTAAGAAAAAAGACACACGCCTGGCGCAATCGTGCAGAGTCACAGCATGCATGTAAAGTCCTGACCGTTTCATTCTAGTATCATCATCATCAGCAGTAGCAGTCAAGTATTGTCAGTAGCAGTAAACAAGAGCAAGCGCAGCCGCCCACCACTCACTGTCATGACGAAGGCCCAGTCACTGCCCAGGTCCTTTTCGAAGACTTTCATGCAATAGGCGCGGGCAGCGGTTGAAAAGGCCCTTTGCTCGTACACAGGACCTGCAATACACACATACATACCGACCATGTGGCAGCGCGGTGGAAAGGCTTGCTCCCCAAAGGTGTCAAGGAGCCTTCTTCTCAGGTTGAAATGTTTTGTGGGTTGGACCACAGAGAAAAGCTTTCCTGCTGAACCTCTACAACATCGTGTCAGGCCATAGAGCCGTTTTTTTCCTTTTGCATTGCCAGGTGACATTGTGTAGTGTCCTGGGTATCACGGGATCTGACACCCCCCGATCGGTTCTTTTCTGCAAAAAGAAGTGATACAGCACATGACATCCCTGCCAGGTGACAACACGTCGTTATGTATGTATGTATGTATGCATCTAGACCACGACATGACGATGATTTGGACTATGCGCAATCAACGATGAATGAGGAGCAATTGGGTCTATGTACGACGTGCACACCTGTGCGGCACTCGTACAATACCTGCCACGATGGGTGTGTCCGCAATGCCGTCATCGCTGCCGCTGCTGCACACCGCCGCGTTTGCATTGGAGCGGCCGAAGGTGTGATATAGGCCCAAATGATGCCTGTATGCATGTATGTATGCATGCATATGCGCGTGGGAAAGAAGAGGGGAGGGCCATGTATTGAATGTGTGCGGGTACACGTACGAAAAGTAGTACGGCACAGTCCACAGTGTCAGCGTCTACTTCAGACCGGAGAGTAATACACAACATTTCTGCTATCTTATCCTTATCCTTGTCTTTACCAACGGCCACAGGGGACACTATCGCCTCCTTCATGCCCTCCCAAACCCGAACCAACACTCCATCTTGTGGTTCTTCATGGCACATCACGTGGAGATACTCCTACTCCATCATTCCCCTCAAAAGCCTTGGGGAAATCCTGCGCGCGTCCCACCATACATGCACATACACACACATGCACACATGCCCCACAGGTTCTCACATGATCTCATGCCACACGACCTTGGCGCCGTACTCCCAGCCCGCCACACTGTTCCACTGGGTGGTGTCCAAGACACTCCAGAGTACGGCCACATGGCCGGTAGTGATGTTGCTGGGAGAGGACGGCACCCAGCCATATCTGTACAGGAAGAACACGGTGGGTGGTGGTGGTGTACGGTTGACTGTACGGACATGTCGTTAGGTGTAGATCCACAGCCTGACAAGGCGGTAGAAGTAGTGCTGCTAGAAGTAATAATAGTACAGCGTGGCGATGAGTGATGCATAATATGTGGCACTTGCTTGCAACAAACGTTCGATTTGAATTGTTGGTAGCACATCGCTCAACACGAAGGAAAATCAAAAATCATCTAGAAAGCGATAGGATGGATGTCTTAATATAGCAATAAGTGTCTGGATGGTTGGATGAGCGTAGTAATGTATAAATGGATGCGTTGAAGGCTGCCTGGATGAATATGCCCAACCCGAAGGAGACATGGTGTACGGTACATGTACAGCGGATACGACACACGTACGGCACATACCCGGCAAATGATGCATTAGATCTATCACCCACAACGAAGACGTTAATAGAGCGAGGGTGATCCGCAGCTCCCTGATCGTTTTGGGGGTAAGGGGAAGGAAAGGGGCCAAAAGGGCGCACACGCACATACATCACATTTTTATGTCATCTATCTATTTCGGGCAGCCCTAGGCACTGGCCCTTGGGCCTTCGGCTCGTATGAGTCCGTTACACCTTTGGGGAGTAGCGCAACTGAAGGTGTATAACACACACACACACATACACACACATCAGCCGCAGGTGCAGAGGCGACGGTTGGTGTAGTTAGCGGTTGGTATAGTTAGCGGTTGGAAAGTTGGGGGTTGAACGGATGGAGACATTTTGGAGGGTTCTATCGCCCATTGAGCGGCCCCAAGAATTAAATGACCAGGACACCTTCCTCCCTCCTCACACGCACACACACACACGCCAAGGTGTGCCGCCATGCTCGTCCAAATGGACCAAGTGTGTCCTCGCACTAAGGACAGTGATGGTGCAGGCAGCCAGGCAGGTAGCAGAACTCCGCTGCCCTCACATCCTCCCCAAAACACATGTCTATGCTTTCCCGGCATCATCGAATAGGTGCCGTCCTATCGTTCATGGCTCCCTGGTTTTGTTGGGTACGGTCCCCTTCCCCGTACAGGCTCCTCCGGTACAGTCCGTACACACGTACACATGTACATACGTACATTGAGGACGTCAGCGCAGTCCCTGTACACGTAGTTGCCTCGTGAAGCGCACCCCAGCCAGGACGACCGACTGCCGCGCAGCAGGTACGGATTGCTGCGAGAGGAGAGCGGCGCCCAAGGAAAGGGCCAGGAGGGGAAAGGTCGCCATCGCAAGCAGGTCGCCATCGCTCACACCGTTCAAAAGAGTGCACACATTGACGGACCATACACTCTCACGAGCTGTCTATGGATGTCCCCTGCTCGGTAAAACAGCATCTGCATCGCCCTTTCGCAAGAATGCGCAAGTTAGGCTGAACGGCACATATATTTCGACCTGGACAGCAAGCGTGAGCTGTTAAACAGCTTGTGCTATTACGGGGCGCAGTGGGGCCTTATATCCCCTACATATGTTAATGGTGTTGTTATGTGGAATTTACAGTGTTAAGGAAAGGGGAGGATGTACGTCTGTCGGTCAGTCAGTAGTGGCAATATTCTCAGGGGGGCATAGTGCGACCACTCACGTTAGGGGGTCGTAACGGATTTCGTTTACGAAGAACTGAAACCTCGTAGGGAGGGCCATGGCGTTCACGACCCTGAGCAAGCGGTCCACGTAATCGGGGGACTTGTCCAGGTTGGGCGGCCCGTATGTGTCATCCTGCCTGCAGCAGCCCCCGCAGGAAATCGTACAGTCACAAAGAGATTGATGGTGGACATACGCGCCAGCTTACAGGGAGCACATGCGGTCGTGCAGGTCGTGAAACTGGTGGGCGCACTCTCCAGCTTTGCTACATGCTCTGGGTTGTAGTGACCATTTACTCATGATTGCCGTACATTCCCAGCACCACCGTCTGCGTACATGTATCGTACGATGTTTCTGTACCTGTACGACATTATGTGAAAAACCAGAGGTACGAGCACCCGTGGCAGCAGCGAGCTGTTGGCGGGCTTGAAAGCTGCTGGCAGCTTGGTTCGGAGCAGCGCCGCCGCCAGCGGTTGGGTTTGCTGCAGCCGCCGCCGTGCAGGGCCCGTCAGCACAATTGTCGTACGCTTGTCGAAAGGCACAGGGGCGGCTAGGGTGGAGAGGTTGCTCTTCGTACGGTGGTTATAGATTGGTAGGCTGTGCTGGGTTCGTGTGGAGGATCCGTTGGGGCGCGAGGTGGGAGGGCCGGGGCGCTTTAAAAGGGGGGCTGGTTTAAGGGACAGGAAAGAGAGGGCCACACAGAGGTACGGTAAGGACGCGGCTACTTGTGGGTTGATTTATCATTTTCAGCTCCCGGGCACCCTGACAAATAACACAATGACCCGCTGTAAGGCAACCGATAGCAATTCAACAACTCTTTGATAAATGACCGTCCATGGGCCCCCCCTCAGGCTTTTACGGACTGGCCCCCCACTTGTGTGTACGGGACTTGTAACTTCGGGTGCATGCATTCGCGCATGCAGCAAATGGTAGGTGGGGAAAAACAGAAAACACACGGGGGCTCACAACACCCTTTCTGCAGTGCAATCGCATCGTCTTTTGGCATTGCAGCAATCACGTGTGCCACTGTATGCACTGTATGCACACATGTAGTGTGTATGACCTGAGCTTGCGACAATTGTATGTAATGTCGTACCTTACCCGTACTTGTTACGTACCTAGACATCGCACCCAAGTCAAAGTGTCCGTCCAGTCGGTTCATGATGTCCCGAAGCTCGTCACTCGCAGCCATTAGACGCATTAACACACCGTACAGATTAGATACGAGCACTGGCAATGTGTCCGGGTCGTACAGCTTGCGGAGCTCGTCCACGTACGGCGCCATAGTGGGGCTGGACAACACGGCGTCCACCTAGCCGACCACATGAACGAATGGGGTTTAAACAGAGTTGAATTGCGGAATTGTGTGGGTTACTATTAAGTGTTCCCAAGTTGGATTAAGGCGGCAAAGTGCACTAGATTGCGCTGGCGTTAAATTCATTTCGCTCGTTTCCTCCAAGTCTTAAAAGATGAATGTACGGGGCCAGATATCAAAGCTAGGTGTGTATCCCCAAAACTGTACGTCTTGGCCATCATCAGCCCCCGCGGAGAAGGAAATGCCGTACTCCAACAAACCGGGCCCACGGCTGCAAAAGGAACGTTTGTTAGTGCGCTGCCCGCATCCCGTCCCAGTCCCTCCCATTCTGCACCTCCTTAATAGCCTTGCAGCCTGTCCACCACCGCCCCTTACCACGTCAGCAACGACCTTCCTGGCACGCGCCTGAGCCTCCTCCTCCTCCTGCAGGGGAGGTCAAGGATTGGTTGGGCATGTAGGTGCATGGGGCCCAGTGCGGTGGTTAGAAAATAAGAACCCGCCGCGAACCCAGACCACACACAGCAGCTAATAGCTGGCTGCTAGGGTATTTAATTGGGAGGAGAGTTAGGTAAGGCTTACACCCGCAACATGCGGCACTTCTATATCCGCAGTCTCTTTCCCTTAACACACAAACACACACATACACACATACACACATACACACATACACACAGACACACAGACACACATACACACAAACACACAAACACACAGACACACAGACACACAAACACAGAGACACACAGACACACAGACACACAGACACACAGACACACAGACACACAGACACACAGACACACAGACACACAGACACACAGACACACAGACACACAGACACACAGACACACAGACACACAGACACACAGACACACAGACACACAGACACACAGACACACAGACACACAGACACACAGACACACAGACACACAGACACACAGACACACAGACACACAGACACACAGACACACAGACACACAGACACACAGACACACAGACACACAGACACACAGACACACAGACACACAGACACACAGACACACAGACACACAGACACACAGACACACAGACACACAGACACACAGACACACAGACACACAGACACACAGACACACAGACACACAGACACACAGACACACAGACACACAGACACACAGACACACAGACACACAGACATACACCGCACCAGCCGCTGCATGCACCCGCACCCCATCTAACTGAGCCTTCCCGGCAGCCAACCCGCCAGTACGTGGGCGTATCCGAAGGCCTCTGGAAAATACCTGTTGCCGCATCAGATCTTGACCGCCATCGAGTGTGCCCCCAGCGGAGCCCCCAAGGCCAAGCACCTTGCCCCCCACCGTGATGGTCGCGTTGGGCAGCGCCTCCAGCTGCTGCCGTACTTGAGACACCACGCCGTGCAAATTGTTGACGATGGTGAGCACGTGACTCTGGTAGTCGAATAAGCCCTGTGCCGGATGCGACCCGGAGGGTGTGTGTTGTAAGGAAATATATATCGCTTACATCAAAGCATTATTGTGCGGGTAGATACATAATAAGATTGTGCAATCCAAGGGAAGATATGTGTGATATGTGCGCAGTTTGGGGGAAATATCGCTTTTGCCAAAACACGTCGAGCAAGTGGTAAGCATGCGGTATGTGCATATCTCGATGGTAACGCGTATGGATGGCCTGGCAGGCCAAACTTTTATAAGTCTCAAGCACGCATACGAGTAATCTCCCCTTTTCATCGCGCCCACACAGAACGTATACGTACATACATACCTGGGTACACAAATGCTCAGTAGAGGCCATGCCGCCGTACGACCAAGGGTTTTCATGTGCACTTGGCTGTTAGTTATGCTGGCATGTATGCAGGGCATTGGAGGTGCGTGAACTGGGCTGCGATGTCACTACCGCCATCTCCCTCGCCAGGTGTCAACAAGGGGGCCTTTCCCCAGAGATCACACGGCCAGGCCAGAGGTCACGTACGGCCACGTACACTTTGGTATCCCCACGCACACGTTGAAGTACCTTTTGACATTCACCGGGGACCCCCTGTCTCAGGTACGTCAAATTTGTCACGCACTGACGTACCTGTGCCAGCTGCGACAGGGTGTCGATGGTTGCCGCCAGGGAACGGGTGTCCACTTTATTTTCCTGACGAGGGGGGTCGTGCACACATATGCGGGCGCGTGAATTCGGGTTCACAAATCCCCATGGGTGCCCCATGGGTTGGCGGGTCCTGGACCTGCATGGCACGATGGTTGTGGCCGCAATAATGCTTGCACCCACTGCGAGCCAGGTCTATCTCTAGCCGTCACCCCCTCCCCACAGAAGAAGCGTTTCATAGCCTTGCTGCACGTGTGGATACTATACGCACACACACGGACCTAAATCATCGCCTGAATTTCTAGGTTGAGCCGTGCGTGCAACCTTTCCGTTTCCACCGTTCCGCTGCTTCACTACTGCACCCCGAGGATTTGCCTTTCAGGGGTGGCGCTTGCTGCCCTGCCTAACATTAAGAGACTCGTTCTGCTGCACACGAACACCACAGCTGGATCCTCCGTATTCTTTATCAAAGGCGGGGGCTTACCACCTCCTAGCACTATTGTGCAGATACGTGCACGTGATCAATACTCTGTCCTTGTGATCCAGCTTCGATACAAACAGTGCGGGGTGAAGATGTACTGATAATTCCTTCGGATTGGAATCATTAATTCTTCCTGCTTTGGTACGGAGTCTACGGACCCTTGACCATGCAAAACACATACATGCTTGTCAGAAGGCCCACCTCGAACCACGTTTCCAGCAAGACCTGTATCGCTTGCGGCTGAATGGATGTGTTGTTGAGCCCTACTGCCGGTAGCAGATCCGCAAGCAGCTGTGAAATAGGGCCCCTTCGAGAAAGCTGCACATGAAGGAGGCAGGCGGAGCACAGGCAGGCAAACACGGGGGCAGAGAGGAAAGGAAATTGCGTATCTGCGGGGTGCCTAGCGAGGGCCCTTAGTAGCGTGAAAAAAAGGAAAGCGGTAATGCCTGTTCAGGTAGCCGTGTTCAGGTAGCCGTGGCCTCAATCAACGCATAAAAGTAGTACGGTGCAGCTGCCCTCGACTCCGCTGAACCTCGCGTGCGGTGCTGGACCATCTTGCAGCAGTATGGGCGTTTCGAGGGAACAAATAGTGTTTTTTGGAGATTGTCGCCACAGACATTATTATTCAGCGAACTTTGTTCTGGGCACAACTGGCAAGGTTCATTGAGGACACAACTGGCAAGGCCGGTATCCAGCAGCCAGCGGACGTTGCTGCTGTAAGCATAGAAGCCTTGGCGTGAAGCTTGTGGACTAGGATTCCTTATAAGAGCTACGTTATGTTGGGTATGCCCTTTTTCTGTATTGTGGTTTTACCTGCATCAAGTAGCTTTCGATGAGCTCTTTTGTATTCGCTTCCTGCATATCCACTGGGATGTACTGCATCAGCTTGTTCTTGACGTACGTCATGTTGGGGACAGTGCGACTAACGGGTGATGCGTCGGATGCTGGGGTCTGGAAACGAGTAGAGAGTGAGAAAGGATTGAGCACAGGGCCAGCATCAGTATTGAGACCGCGGCGGCGGGAGGACAGAAAAAGATTTTGATGAAAGAAAAACATTTATAATCACTAGTTAGGTTGAGCGCAAGACCACAGCTAGGTACCGAACGCAGCGTTAAAGAGCCGTCAGAGTCGCCAAGTCGAACGCTTAGCGACGGGCGAGCGATGTCGCGAGCAAGGCGCGGCAGATCCCGAGCCGCTAACAGGAGCAACGGTAAGTAAGCAGAGTAAACAGCGGTAAGGAAATTAATCTTGTAGGAGTATTAGATTTATTCGATCATCTTATTATCTACACATACGGAGAGTTTAGTTTCCGTACACGCAACCTTACCTCGTTCTTTTTTGTCCCTATCCCAAGACCGATTCCAAGACCAATGGCCATACCGAGCACCGACAAAATTGTTATTATAATAACTGCAATAACGAACCATCGCGGTGCCTGGGAACTCCTTTTTCTTGTGTCGCCAGCCGGAGAAGGAGGATCCTGAGCATCGATAAACGAAAATGGCTGCGCAGAATGTTAGGAGGGCATGCCTATGCAACAATGAATGCTGAATAATAATCTACTGTCCTCGCTGCGCGGTTCGGGGGTACGGGAGAGGAAGGGACGCGCGAATGCCTGAGCTCCACGCATCGTCCAAGCTAGCAGTATAAAATATTTACCTTCTCTATTACGATGCTTCCTGTATACACGGGATTATGCGCCATGCCTGATTGTTGATTGACGGACGCGCTGCTTGCGCCCTTAAACTGTGTTCTTTTCGACTCGTCAGAAGGTTCAAGCCGTATAAATATATGTTCTTTAGGATTCGATTATAAGAATTGAAGCAACGTTAGGCCTGTCGACGGCCCCAAACCTAGTCTAGCCGTTCCCGTCACACTCAACAGATATGCATTGGAGTTCATGACGATTAATAATATGTGCTTGAGAATATGCTTAAATGTCTGTCAACGTGGGCATGCCTACACGCTTCCACAGTGCCAAACTTACAACGAGAACAGTTGTCCGTACGCAAAGGGTCGTACTGTGTGTCTAAGCTGCAAGAACAGCAAGGTGTGGCTTCATTTTATGTACAAGGAAGACGCATACCTGTCACGGAGAATAGATTGTGCAGTAAGCAGACTTACACCTCTTATACAAGCCTACACGGCTGCAGCAGAAATCAAGCCTAACGTAGACGTTCATATAAGAGTATAGGAGGATGCCTAACAAATCTAAAGACGGACCTTATAGCACAAACTTGCCACCGCTGAATGAAGACGAGGTACGCACACATGCGCGTGAGCACAAGCTACAAGATATATGTATATGTTCAATGTTTATAAAACTGAAAGCTTAAAATTGTCAAAGCCGATGGAGGTCAGTCTTTGGGTTACATTTGGCCGCGATAAGGCTGGAGCCACGTTAACCTGCCTGCAGTTGGAGATGTGTCGGAAAGCATTCAACATGTTTGATAAGGAGTCCAGCGGAACCATTGATACGAAGGATCTACGGACCGCGCTGTCCGCCTTGGGTCAAAACCCGTCGGAGGAGGAGATGTTCGTCATGATAAGCCAGGTGGATTATCGATGCGCTTGAGGCCATCGAAGGCCAGAGTTTAAGCCCGGTGCAACGAGGTTGGGTCACAAGGCGCGAATAGGGCATGGGCTGTATGTGGCAGGTCACTTGGGGGGGTGAGGGGAGGTCTTCAGCCCGCTTGGCTCTGCGAACCCCGGCGCCTGCACGTTGGCCCGCCTTAATAACTTCGAGAAGGTAGCTGTGTGCGTGTGTGTGTGTGTGTGTGTGTGTGTGTGTGCTTACTGGGTTGTCCCGTCTCACCCCGGCCCGGTCGCCGGAACCCTATCGTGCAGGTCGATGAGGAGGGCAGCCGCTGCATCGAGTTCACCGAGTTCGTGCGGGTCATCCAGTTCAACAAGGCCCTCTCTGCGCGGGACGCGGACGAACTGGACACGCTGGACGCATTTGCGGCTCTGGGCGGCAATGTAGGTTCGGCTCCGGAGCGAAGGAATCAATGCCTCCATCCTAATTCATGTGCATTATGGTTCCGAAGGATGATCTACCACAAGGGGAAAGTGGGCGGCATTGCAGCGGGGCTAGATGTGTGGTGATGGTAGCAGCTACGGAATCAGGCGGTGGGGCGAGGGAAGCACCGCGGGCCCCGCGGGCGCCTGAGCGCAAGTAGCTGCGGGGACCGGGGATGGACTGGGAAGTGATCGGGGCGTGATCGGGGTAAAGTGGCGCGGTACATGGCGCGGTATTGGGCAGCGCCCCTGTATGCTTGAGCTGGGGCTGGGACAAGAAATGGGAACGGGTGTTGGGTGTTGGGTGCAGCAGCTTCTGGGAAGCTGGTGCAAGGTCCTTAAGCACCTCCGTGGTTTACTGCTCATCGCCGAGCTTGTGGTGTTGAGAGTCCTCGTGGTCCAGGGAGGGGAGCCCTTCCCGGGGTTTTTATGTACGGCGGGGAACCCAAGGGGCAGTGCTCGTTGGAAAGGCAATGATGTTTACTCGGGGAAAAGCTCCGAAATCATGCTCCGAAATGTTCGGCGGATTGGTTTTGGGCTAGTGTGTGGCAAGCTCTATCGTGTGCGCTCTCAGCCTCTCAGCAGCTCTCCATTCGTTTCTTTCGTTCCGGAAAAACTACCGCGGGGTGTATGACTCAGATTTGTCCCGGCATTCCTCAGCTGCACGCTTTATCATCTTGTGCATGGAAGTCCTATCCCACATGAGCCACCTCCGCCGCGCGTCTATCATCACTTCCCTCTCCCCACTGCTGTTGCTGCTGCTGCTGCTTGCCCACGCAGATCGATCGCACGGGGAAGATCTCCATAGATAAGCTCAAATCCATTTGCGAGGTGAGGTTGCGGAGAAGGGCTCAAATGGGTGTGTGTGGGGACAGAGGGTTTTAAGGAAACCAGTTCCGGACCTTTCCGGGGGCTGTTCGTACTCACGGCTCACCTGCACATGGGCGACTAGTGCTGACCCCGGCAGGGTCCTGCTGCGCCATCCGGCGGTAACCCACTCTGTCCTCCTGAATGCAGGAGTTTGAACTAACGATCAACCTGGACCGAGTTGCGAAAGACGCGGAGCATGAAATCAACGGCACGCTCACGTACGAGGAGTTTAAAGCTGTGTTGTCTTGAGGTCTTTTTGTGCTAGCCGCGGTGCTGGCGCTGGTGATGCGGTTGCGTTTAAAGGCAAGGCCAAGGCGGCTTTGTTTGTTTTCCCAGTGCTGCGCTATTGATATGTGCAGTCTACTCAGAGGATATCGGTATCGGTTGTTGAGGTTGGTTCTCCGAGGTGAACCTTAAGGTGGTGAAACCCTGGTGTTATATGGTCCTGTGTGTATTGTGTGTGTGTGTGTGTGTGTGTGTGTTACATGGTTGGGGGGTGCGTGACGCCATACCTGTAAAACTACCCATACGAGCCGAAGGCCCAAGGGTGTTTTGCATCCGGGCATTTCGATGCTCGCCTGGGGCGACGGGTCGTAGCATCGAGGCCCTCTTTCATTCACTGCATGGCTAGGTGGCCTGGGGGCGGAAGATGTGAGGGGGGGGAGGCTCTGAAAAGGGGCTGCATATCGGCTACCGTACTCACGGTGGCGCGCAATTGACAGCGGCTGTTGATCTGCCAGTTTGCGCGCTCGTGCCATTGTATGGCTCTGCCGGTGTTGACGTGCTAGGTGTAGGAGTGGGCCCATATCTGGGGGTGACACGCTTAGTAGGAGTTGGCGCCCTGGCCCCGCTCGATGCGGGTACAGCTCCTGACCATGGCATGGTTAAGGTTAGGTTTGGTGCTGCTTTCAGTGACTGTCTCTTAGCGACTCAGGCATGCAGGTGACACAATGTGCTGCGGTAGCTCTGTGCGGAGTTAGCTGGGAGTGGGGAGTTGGCATCGAAGCCACACAAAATTAAGTGAGTCGTGCGTGATAGCACAATGAATGTTCGCAGGGTTGAGGCCCCTGACCTTTAAGGGGATGAATAACGGTGGACATGGTTTGGTGTCAAACGGGACGGTGTCGCGCCTGGCTCGGGCTGCTTCATTGCCGGCATGCGGAACCCAATTCCATGCATGGGGCCTGTGCGTCGTGTCAGGTGTCTTCACTGTCGTTTCATGCACGGAACGGATACATGCGCCATTTTTGCAGAGCTGGTGTGCGACCCGGCTGGCTGGGCGTCGAAAATATCGCCAACGGGGCTTCACCACAGGATGGGGTCATGACTTGACATGCCTCCATGTGACACACGTCACAGACGCGCCGCCGGCAACCCAGGTCCAGACTAACAGCCCATCCTTGCGTCACCACGGCCACAAATTAGCCTTTGACCCTAACTACAGCCCCTAACTAACCACCAGCGGCACCACCCAGCGAAGGAAAATATGGTGCGTTCGCAGCTGGCAAAGCCGCCGTCTATATGTAGACCGCCGAAGCATAACAATAGGGTTGTAGCTGATAGATAGGTGTGTGGCTGGCGCCCGCCGCGGATTTCATGCGGAAGGCAGACCCTGATAGGGTAACATATCTTAAACAAGCCATTGTATCACCAAACCATTGATATTATGCCAGCACCAAAAGCATTTATTGAAAACGGGCTGGACGTTGGCAGAGTGGGCCACATCCGAATCCTACCGGGTATTATAGAATAGATGACATTAAAAGAGGATTGTCAGGGCCCACATCCATTGGACGTGTTTAGGCCAGCAAGTGAATTGCATACTTGGAGCTCGATATCCGTGCATGCCTGCACAGCCTTACGAACGGTGCCACACCTCAACAAGACGAGGTTGCTCCAAATTACACAACGTTCTTTCTAGCAGCAGAGAAGTCACGCTCGTGCAAGCCAGTCAGGCAATACAGTACGGTAAAAGAGCAGTAGGAGACAGGTACATCTGCTTATGCGGCGCCCTCGGGCTTGCCAGCTTCAGCCTTGGTCTCCCCGGGGGTGGCGGTCTTGCCCGACAGCGTGTGGCTACCTTCCCCGAGTATCAGCGGCAGCCCGTTCTTCGAGTTGCCAACCACCACAATCTGCACGATAGAGGGTGATAGTACAAGGGCACATTCAGTTGAGGCGAAAGGGATGGCTTGAGGAGTCTGAAGGTGAAGACACACAGTCACCATCCCAACCTAGGTTGACGACGCGGTGTCCTGCGAGGCGCGTTTCAGCGCTGGCCCTCCACGTAGCTTTAAATTTGAGCATATGTTTGGGTGATATTGCGGATCAGATGATTAGGAAGTACCTTGGCGTTTGCGGAGTTTGCAAGCCTTTCCGTCGCTTCGATGCCCTTCCACTCCAGAAGCGCGTCGCTAATCCCCTGTGGGTGCGTGCGTGTATCCGAGCACCGAGTCCAGTAAGCGGGCGGGAAGAATTCGTTAGCCAGGTTGCCTGTCCCATAAACTCGCCTCGCAAATTCCAGGTGCCCAACATAGGTTCGAAGCTGCGGTTGCCCCCTCAGGTAATCGCATCCTCCAAAAACAAACAAAACATCATAACACAGTTTTTATCGCGTCCTTGTCTTCATTACCTCCCGTCAGGCTCCCTAGCTCGGGAGAACCCGGCTGCTCCTATTGCTGATGTACATCGGCCCCCACTGGGAAATGAGGAAATGAAACGGGTCGATAAAAACAATTTCTGATTTCTGCAGCATGGCCTTTCCCCTTGCTGCTCTCACGTTTCCATGTTCACCCAGCTGTCAGTCCATTTGTCAGCCGAGCCTCCCCGCCCCTCGTCAGGAAGTCACAGCTTACTTGTGACACGATGCTTTGGAAGTCAGAAATGCCCTGAGCCTCGATACGCTTGCGCTCAGCCTCCTGACGCTCTGCAGCCAGAAAGGGGGAAAGGTGCGAATGGCGAAGACAACCGGACGACCCGCGAGCAGTTTTCGGTTGCCCAGCGCTAACAACAACAGGCAACAGGCGCTACACCGTGAAAGGAGAGAAAGAGAGAAGAGAGAGAAAAGTGAGACGAAAGACTCAGTGACTCCAACACCCTCTCACACGCATATCGCACAATCGTTTGCATGCGGCTGGCCCCCTGTGCAAACAGAGCCCTGAAGGTCCCCATCTTGCCTTTCATAAGCACGAACTCCATGCGCTGACTGTCCTGCTCGGCCATGAGCTTCTGCTCGATAGCGGTGGTCACCAGTTTCTGCACGGGCGGTACAATACATCACATAAAAAAATTCCTTTAGCAACATTCTGGTTTTTTGTACAGTAAACCCTAAGTTGCCGTTTCGCCTGCCGCACCGGGCACCAAAGTGAGTCACACACATCCACTACTGGCCAAAGTTGAAGCAGTGACCCCGCCTTCTGTTCCGTCAACCCCTGGTACCAGCTGACAGACTTCACACAGTCGCCTGTGGTTCATCTTAAGAGTCCCCCCTACTTCACACAGTCTGACACACAAGCAAGCCAGGGCAGCATGGGGCCCGGATGACCCCTCGGACGCCGCCTCACCGGCAGTACCACTTTCCGCAGCAAGGCCTGCTCGATTTCGATGCCGCGAACAGCCAGCTTGCCGTTGAGGTGGTCCTTAATGTTGGTCGACAGCTCGTCACGGCTAGCCGAGTATAAGGTTTTGGATGACACGCTAGCGGTGAGGCTTCGAACAGTGGAGGTGACCTCGGGCAGCAAAACCACCTGCGTGCAACGTCAAGTGCGACATCGAGTGCGATTCGGTTAAATAAGACGTGTTACGTTGCGTGTGGAAAAAAGGTTTGTGGTCTTGCAGGTATCCTGAATATGTTAGTTCGGGATTTCTGTGCGCATTTCTGTGCGCATTTCTGTGCGCAGCTTCCATGACAAGAACTCTGTTGTTTCAATCCATCAGGCGGTTCGTCCGATTTTTTTATTCCTACTTCTTAGCTTTCTCCGCTGCAGGAGAGACCCAGCACCCACCTCCTTGTAGTTGTTGCCGACTGTCAGGTAGAGGTCTCGCACCATGTTAGGGTGGATGCGGTGGAGGATGGAAACTGAGGGATCGGGAGATGCCGGGGGGTTGGGAGGAATTCGGGAATATGAGGGATGGGGTTGGGGTTGGAGCAGTCGGTGGATGTGGAGGGCACAAGTCGTGAGATGAAGCACCATCGAAACCGGTCCTTGGGCCCTTGAGACACAACAGGAGAGGTTAAAAGGGCACCTCGAGGAAGCGCTCTGGGGTGCCAGATTCAGTAGATTGGGCCTAGTCTCGACACCCACGCCCTCCTACTCTTGGCATTACCAGCTTTTACCGTAATTGTTTTTGCACAAGGCACCGCATGTTATTGCACTCTCGAGGATGGGCGTAGCTCTGCCCGATCCAGGTGTGCCCCCATGATTCGGAGATGCACCCATGCATGGATTTGCATGTATTATCAGCCGTGTGCGTGCGGGCCCCCTTGCGCTCATGGCTTACCATCCAGCTCAACGATAAGGCCCTCGTTCGTGGGCACATTGAGGGTCAGTTCCATGAGTTGAGTCTTGAGTGAAAAGCTATGGATAGTGCTGTACAAGGTCTTGACGTGCAACCCCGCGGAGATCGTGTTTTTGGGCACATATCCTGCACGGGGCGATTCACGACAGCGGCCGTAGGGCAGAGGGATCTTCCTTTACAAATGTAGATCATGACAGAGCATGCAGAGTTATATGGTAGGACAGTGGACGGATATCTACGGTAACGGTACGGTAACCGCACACGCCGGGATGGCTAGTAGACGTGTCAGATGCTCGGCCCCCGTGCGGCGCTGCGTTTGCCCAGCTAGGGTATCTGCTTCCACTCGGCTCCTTACCAAAAAAATCAACCACAGCCAGGTGTCCAGCCGGAATGCTTACAATAGGTTGTCCGATAAGTATAGCGATAAGCAGAAGTACTGAAAAAATGAGTATCGCAATTTGCCTGCATTTCAACAGCACAATCGCTTAGTCTGAACCGCTATCAAAGGAAATATACATGAAGCCACAATGCTCATTTCGACTGTAAATGAAGTTTGAAATTTACAAATATCTCATAATGGCTAACACAGGAAATCCGCAAGGGACAGAAGAAAAGTTAAGCCCTGAAGCTAGCACAATATCGGATTCTCGGCAAAGCCCCCAATTGCGTATCGGCGCTTACCGAGGACTCAATGGTAGCTCTTTATTGGGAGCAGGCTTCTTTATATCCTTTCCTGTCAAGTCTTCGATACATTGGTATGGCTGAGCCTTCATGCTGGGCCGCCTCCGGTTTGGTCGATGCTCCAACTGTTATGACCCTCGAGTATGAATAACGGTGGACAAAGAAGTAGCAGCTTCGTCTGCCAGTAAAGCAGAAAAAGATCAGCAAGACGCGACGCGCATAAGCTTGCTCTTCCTCCTGAGATTCAAACAAACAAAATCCAAGCCAATGAAATAAGGAGCTCCAAGAATGCCTACCTTTCGTAATGTGACAGCCGTCGATGTGCTAGATGCATGTAACGTTTGACGTTTGTACGAGCAAATGACTCTCAGCTTCTCACACCTTCAAAGAATGCGCGCATAGGCAGAAGGTTCATCTACTGTATAAGAGACTTTTCAACCCTCTTGATTTGTATAATATTTATGCAGAAGTGAGCTTTCACGCGCCAGGTGACGAACATGTCCCGGCTTCTAATTAACGTGGTGTTGCGCAGCGTCCTTTCCTTCGCATATGGAGGACCAAGCAAGCTTAGAATGCTTCCTGCTGTAAGTTGGAGGTAGCGGCAAGCCATGTCAACTTGGATAGTGAAGTGGGCCTTTTTTACAAGCTTCACGACAGAAACACGCCAACCCCGCCGGGGTTACCCCGGGGGGAAAGACCCGGAGGGGAACGGCCCAAGGTCTGGGTCGGGTAGGGGCAGCTATAGCCAAAGCTCCGAGTTAAATTTATCACGCGTTACCGAATGACATGAAAAGCGCATGTGCCCATTTTGTCAAGCGATACAGTAAAACTTTCGCCATACCCAGTCAGTGCTCCAACCGTGCCTTCGTGTCCTGCTGCGCATGCCATGAGCCGTGACCGCACACGCGCCATTTCGTGTGCGATCACTCCGCCTTTAGCCGTCCAGCCCTTGCCGTTGCATGGTCCGCCAAATGAGCCAAACTTGCATCCAAGATCTCAGATCGGAGGCTCCGGCCATGGTGCTACACTCCGAGGAAGAGGATTCGCACAACCCATACGTTCTCACAGCCCTCTGTGTCAAGGACTTTGCTCTTGATCTTTCTTTTATCGCTTGATGCCAACCCCTTTACTGAATCGCTCGCCCTGCTTCACGTCCCTCACCATCGGGATTGCGCCCGCTGTCATCGCGTCCTTGACTTATCTGCGGAATACACAAAGCCAAGTACCCAGACAATCTCAGATCTCAGCTTATCATAAAGCTGGGTCATTAATCTGCTTCGGTACAAACGCACTACAAACGCATTAACCATACTACCGATGGGATCTTCCGCAGCTGGGATCTTCCGCGTAAGTTTGAATTCCTGTTGAACGCGTCTATTGGATGAATGTGCTTTTTCCATCCACAGAAAGACACATACACCCACTTAAACATACATGTATATAGGGTTTGGCACTTCTGGTAACGCGCGACCATTGCCCCCGGGAGATCCCGGGATCGGTACCCCTAAGGGTTAATAATCCTTCCGATGGTGGAAGGTATTGCGCTCCTAGTTGATGGACGGTGGTGACCTGGGATAAAGTTAACCTGCGAGCCGACCAGGTATGGAGTTGGGCCGCTGTCGACCCGTCAGATTCCGTTGGATGCTAGTGGTGGGTGCGGAACCTGAGCGAGCCACGGAGAAGTTGACTAGGGTGACTGGATGAGGGTGCCCCGAGATACCGGGGAAGGCAGGGTTTCGAAGGGTAGCTGCCACGGGCGAAGATATACCCCCCTGTTTCACACATCATACATGTAATTATCAATCCGTCGGGTCTTAAACGGCAGATCATGGAAACGGTCTCAGCAGTGCATGCAAAGTTTTATTCGGAGGCTGTGCTTCAGAAGACACACCACATGCGGGAGAGGGCCCTTTCAGCTCGTGTGGCAAGGCTATCGCAGCCATGACCGCTGCCAAGGCCAGCTGCGTGCACGCCTGAATCGCCGTCCGCGTCACATCAGGAAAATCAGGTACAGTGGATTCATGTCCGGTGGCCAGCGCATGAAAGACTTGACGTAGAAGCATCAAATGCGCTGGGTTTGTTGCCATACCGCCCGTTCCGGAACCACCGCAACCGCTGTGGTGTGGACCTTCGCAGCTGACCAAAGTGATGTCATTGCCTATACCTTGAAATATGGATTTGAAAAGCAGGCAAGATGTACAGTACCGGGAATGAATTAAGCTGCCTTGCGCTGTCTGCCGATGTGGTGACACTTAAAACTCCTGGGCACTGACGGGTTTAAGTTTGGACAGAAGAGGATGTGTGCTGGCCGTCGGAAAATCCAATGGCGGAGCTTATCGCTGCTGAAGCTTCTGTCACGGTTTCGTCCGGTACAGTACGGCCTAATAATTCAACCGGACTACCAGACCTGCAAGGTGCTCTACAACGCAATGCCATTCCCTTTACACAATCATAGATGTTATATTTGAGCTCCAAATTAGCGTAGCAAAACTAGGCCCTGACGGGACGCTCTCAAACACAGCGGACAAACCATGATGAACGTTTTTAGGTTAGCGGGTGATATGACACACCTGCTGTCAATTATAGTCTTGTTGCTGAAGATTAACGCTACACGGTCATGTCGCGGTGAGGAATGATCTTGGCACTGCGGGAAGGTGCAGTAGCGCTGGCGCCACTTCTTTAATGCAACACTACCTGCTGATACGTGTGGATTAGGCATCTCGCTGAAGACTCAGGAGCTGTACGCCGTGGTGTTCGTGTGCCGGTACTTGGACCTGTTCACTAACTTCATTTCCTTGTAAGTCGGGGTTGTTGTTTCGAGGTTCGCGGGAAACATGCTCTGGAATGTTACGTATACCCGACATGTGCACAGATACAACACGGTGATGAAGATCATTTTCCTCGTGTCCACCTTCACCATTATATACTGGATGCGCTTCCATAAAGTCATCCGGGTGACGTATGACCGGGAGCAAGATACTTTCCGGTACCAGTTCCTTGTGCTTCCCTGCTTGGTACTGGCCCTGCTGCTCAACAACGAGTTCACGGCGATGGAGGTGGGTAAGCTCCCGCCCCAGCTGCTCGTTGCCCGTGGGAGCGAATTGTTTCCCAAAGCGCCAAATTGTGCCCCTCACCGTCCTTCAGCTTCCATGTTACCACCAAGGCCACAGTTGCTATGCTCAGCTGCCATTTTGATCAAGGGAACGGGTAGCACGATGTATGTATGTATGTATCAGCTGTCGCGGTCGCGCTCTGGGGCTAGGAGTTCGTGCCAGTAATACCTGTGGCACCTCACGGCTAAATAGCTCCATCAAAACGTTCAACTTCAAAACCTTTGGAGCTGCGAAAAGTAGCTTTCGTACTAATGTCCAACTTGTGTAATAATGTCCAACTATCGATGTATGTCCGCCCACAGGTTTTGTGGACTTTCTCCATCTACCTGGAAGCTGTTGCAATTCTGCCACAGCTTGTGTTGCTGCAGCGCACTAATAACATTGACAACCTCACGGGCAACTACGTCTTCCTGCTGGGGTAGGAATAGAGCGAGATTACGGGCGGGCGGGGGGTAGGGGTGGGGCCAGTGGAGAAGCAGTGGAGAGGTTCTTGACGCTCTTGCCTGAGAGGTCCCGAGCGGTTTACCTGAATGGCGACATGCACGTCAAAAACTGAGAGGTTGGCTACTACAGGATATTACATGCACCCTGATGGCGAAGAAGGCTTTGGGAGAGATTTGCGCTGTGGTGGGAATTTTCGCCGGGGGCCCTTGGCATCCTTCGGTGGCCGCTGCCCACACCTAAGGGGTGTCCCTTGCGCGCGCCTCTGGAGGCCTCTGGGTGTTCCATATCTGTTTAATCGCCCAGAGCCAAAGGGGGTTGACGGTTCGTTCCATTATGATTTGATGGCTGGTGTGGTGATGGAAGGGTTTAGGAGGAGGGGGAGGTAGAGTCCTCCTATTACGATTTTAATGAAGATCATCCCCTCCTCAGATCAGAACCGTTCCCGACGTGCTTGCAGGTCCTACCGTGCTTTGTACATCCTGAACTGGGTCTACCGGTTCATGACGGAGAAGCATTATCGCCAGTATCTGGGTAAGTCGGCCGGGGGGGACCCTAGGGTCGCATGTGCATCGTCGCCGCTAAGGCGGGCGAATGCCTACCGACCTTCTGATGCGTGTTTTAACACGACCATTTGCTGCCTGGGGGTGTTATGGCAGCTGAAGAGGTAATGCTTGCCCCTGGCGCTGTCTACCCCCCCTCCCGGCGCCCCAATGCGCTGGCGCTGTCGGCCCTGACTGGCTCACCACCACTACTACCACCACCGCTGCGTCTCTGATTATTCGCCTGTTCTCGTGACGTGCGTTTGAAATGCAGTTTGGATCTCGGGTATTGTGCAAACCATCATTTACATCGACTTCTTCTACTACTACATTAAGAGCTGGCGGAACAACGAAAAGCTTTCGCTACCAGCTTGAGGCGTGGTGCGGCTCGGAGTTGTTTAGGACGATAAGGCTCGCTGACGCGGCAGGGCGCTTGCAGCTGCACAGCCGGATCGGTACTGGAGGAGCTGACGTGGACAGCACCGCCCTCGGATGGCCCTATACCCTAATAGGCTACGAAGTGGGTTGGGTTGCGGGCCTGTGCACTTGGGCACAAGACTCCCCGAGGCCCCATGTAAATCTGGGACGGCGGTCAAACCAGCTGGCACATTATCAAATGTCGTAAATGATGGGACATGTCTGGGGCTCAAGATGATGTAGGCGTTTGACAGCTTATTTAGCTGACTAGACTCTTGGCTCTTGGAGCAAATCTGGGCTTTTGTGTGGCTTTGTGCTGATGGCTAGGCACACCCCACAGAAGGCATAGTGGTGTTGCGTTCTGCTTGTGTTGCATACGGTGGAAGAAAGGCGAGCAGGCGCGTTGCGCTGGTTTAGGTGACCGGTCCAGGCTTTGTTTGTCTCTCGTCGAGCGGCTCTTGCCTGTTTGGATGTGGGGATGTGGACATTTGGTTCCTGCTGGGCTTTTTGGGTATCTGACGGTTTGGAATTGCGGACTGAACTTGGCGCCTTGTAGACTACCTTGTGGTGAGTGTTTCGTAACGGCGGATAAGTCCATAAGCCAATTTGGAAACTATTATTTGTCCGGACCAAAGCGGTTTCACAGGATACAAATAACTGGAGTGCGGCGACAATGGGTCCGGTGTTGTGAATGACGTGAAGTGCTTGCGGGATACGCGGGGCAACGCTTTGCATGAATTACAGCTCTGCAGCGAGACGTCCATAAAGCTACACTGAAGAATGAAAATCTAACGTCACGGTTTTACGGTGGGTTAGCATATGTAGCTATCTAAACCCATCTAATACCAGTACCAATGCATCAATTAACGTCATTTTGTCACCTGGCGCGATTTCATCCAGCCTCACAAAACGCCGTAACCTTTCGTCGCGGCATCTCCGCGCGCATCCAACGTCCTTGAGGCATCTACCCAGCCCCGATGCTTAGCCCGTTAATTCTTATCTTATACAGGTAACATGCCATCCACCAGACGGGAGCAAAACATGGCATAGCCATCTCTAGCTATGGCTAGGCATGGTCCTGTAAAAAGCCATATGATAGTGTAACACGGTTTGGCAGTGAAAACCCACACCCATACCCACACCCCTTACTATTGCTCTATCCTTATCGCCGCTGTCACCTGCGAGGTTTCATCACCCCGCCCTTCAGGTGACTGGCCTGCAGCTGCTGCAGCTGCGGCACTTGCCTGTACTGCAGCTGCTGTAGTTGCTGCTGCATGGCTAGGCGCTGCTCCTGCGCTTTTTGCTGGTGGATGGCGCCAATCTGCCGTAACTGTTTGTTATGCTTTTGAATGGCCAACACGAACTTGAGCAGCACCTCTTCCTCGTCCACGACCTGCGCGTGAAGTGGTTCAACCCAGGGGTGCCCCAAGTCCAACATTTGAAGAACATTGAGAAGAAGTGTGGAAATGCCTCAGTAATCGAAATCTTATGGTATTTAGAACCACGTAACCTGGGTCGGTCGTCTCGCATCAACCAACGAAAATTGTGCGTGCCCCGTACTTAGCCCGTGTTCACAAGGCTAGCCGACCTTGGCAACTTCAATAATAAAAATAACCCCGAGTACATAGGGTCTGTATACGCGAGGAAATGTTCCAAAATCCGTTTACTCCTCGTAATTGGTACGCATGTGGTCGACTCGACAGCGCAAACCACGCACCTGCTGCGCGAAGTGGCGCGTCACGGAAGGTATTAAATCCTCCTTGGTCGCTGTTGCCGGAGTATCTCCCAGCTTGTGAACTTTTCGGTATCGTAACAAGGATTGCGTCTGTAAGCAGAAGCGAATTACGGCAACCGTCAGTTAGGTTCGCCACAACCAAAGCTGAATACCTGGACCCATCAGCGCGCTGAAGCCGATAGGTCATGCCACAGCCAGTACTTACGTCTAGCTTAGAAAGATCTACTCGCATAACCCGTCGCGTGCTGCGCGTTTGGCGGCCCTGCGCACACATGTGTTGACGCACATATCGGTAGGTCGGCATTGACCGTAATGATCTGCTATCTGTTTGCAAGATTGAAGGTGAATTGCCATCATACTGCAGCGAACCAGAGTTAACGGGGCCCACCTCCATGCCCTCGTCATCGGACGAAGCGGCAGCCTGGAACGCGCCTTGTGCACGCAGAGCCGACGGTCGTTGGGGTCGCCTATCCGACATTCTCAGCAGCTGACAAACCTGCAGACACTGTACAGGCAGCTTTAACCAATTATGGACTCTTGAAGTCGCTAACAGGGGGCCACATGCAGAAGAGTATTACCATAACGAGCCATATGGTTAGGTGGAAAGAGTCCACCCTACAATAAGCCTCTAGTGCAACACTTGAGCGCACACCGACATCCGACGACATAGTCCACTTACCAACGAATATCAGCGACGCCAGTCCGTGTCAAGTCCTCAATTATTGTGCCGAGTTGCTGCTGCTTCAACCTGGTCCGCCTTTCCAGCTCTATTCGTAAAGAACCCACAGTACTGGCCCAAGTATTTCTTTGGTTTGCTTTTGTACCAGATGCTAAGTGTTAAATCCTACAAACTGTTGTCCTTTCACATCTAACCATAACATTTAAGCTAACTTGCATGAGAAAACCTTTAGGTTTGGTCAGGGCACTAGCGCCGAAACCAACGGTCTCCTGAGACCCTCCATTATTATGCGTGATCGATTGGCCCTTCTACACCAAGCACGATTCATGTTGTGTAGACGCAAAGTTCAATGTCATGCAGCGGGTGGAAATGGTCGTGGCGGTCTGCCTGCGCAACTGGTCTCTTTTCAATTTTTCACAAGAGGGTTCCCAAGCAATAATTAACTTTATGACGCAAATGAAACTGTAAGAGTTTATAGGTAGTTGGCATTAGACCATGTGCAAACACAATCCTCGCGGAAAGTACGTTACTTCCCCGTCTTGGGCGAGATAATCTTTAATGTCTTCTTAGCATTCCACAATATCTTCCAGCTTTTAGAGCTGCAAGTTTGTGCCTACATGGTCGTTTTCTGTAGGTCACGGTCCACCACCGTAACGGAATCGGTTGAGCACAGCGGCGAAGTATTCTTTGCTACTGCAGATCCATCGCTTCCAGTAGGTAACATATAATAGCAGCTGGACTCCTACGTCCTTTGTCTATTAAGACGGATATGAAATTGCTGTTCCCTTTGATCTATCTGCATATTTAGGAGGTCGTCGGAAGCGCCTCGCAGGCTCGCTTCCGCCCATACAATACTTGGTTTTATTTTTTCACGTTGCCAAATTTTGCCAATCGTGCGCCACTGACAGTGGTCTACGGCTAAGTAAGTCCCACCCAAAAATGCAGCTTCTTCATAAAACAATGCAATAGTTAGCAATTTGATCACGATCTTTTTACGGAGGAACTGTTGAGGCATGTAATATGTTGCGTTCGTGTTTTGGGACCCATCGCGACCCATGGGCCCTTTGCAGGACTGAAGTTACGTGCCCTGATAATGGGCAAACCATCTCAGAGCAAGACGTAGATAACCAAAACACGTGCAAAACTACGGTGTTGTGGCTCCTGGTCGTCTTGAAGTAACAGGCCCACGTGATAGTTAAAAAGCAAGTAAGCGATTCCAACAAACTACAACGCAACGCAATAAGGACAGGCCCTGACAGGCACCGGCGAAATTGGGGGGCAAAATTCGATTGCCAGCATCCTCTTCTTAGTTAATGTCGTCAAGCTGATAAGCTGCAGCCTGCAGGTGCAGGCTGACGTCTCTTGTGCACGTTGTGCCTTTGTGCCCCGTCTGTAGTGAAACATACTCCGCTTCGCGTATCCAACAGACACGTCACATTGCTCAAGAGGCGCATGTCGGAGAGGTTCACAGATCCGCGACGCTCATGGCCGTAGCGTTGACATAATATCGTAGTCGCAACGGACTATGGGCGTTGTAATTTTGGACACTCCTTCCACTTCCTTCCTTCTGCAGAACGAACTAGAGTTTCCAGACCGGGCTAACTTGTGGTTGGGCATTCCACAGGCCTCCGTTCATGGTGTGTGTGTGAGGTTGTGTGCCTCGCGGCCATCAGTTCACTCAATCTCGGTCGCCGTTTGTTGTTTGGGGAAGGTCTTCCGGCCAACATGGGCGTGTCAATACTTAACTGGATTACTTACGATGTCATCACTGATTTTTGGGCTCGTTTAATTGCTTTTGCGGCACGGGATAACCTGCCAAAATGTTGGGAACACGTGCCTCAAAATTATCCTTTCTTATATGTCAGCGACGCAAACAAGGTCGCCTGATCCTTTCTGTATGAGCGTACTAACCGAGGTTTTGTGTCCAGTGAAGTTAGTACGGCCTGGAAGAGTTCTTTTTGAGTAAGGCCCACAGTGTTGTGTGGGAGGCGCTCCTACGGGCGCTCCACTCGACCCGCACTTGTTTGGGTGCCGTGTCTCGGAAATTTTTAAAGTTGTACGTAAACTCGGGCAGGCCTCCAAGACGCGTGCCACCTGGAAGCGCCAGAGCTATCTCGGAATCAGCTGCATAAAATGAAATTCGCCGCAAATCAGTTACTAGTACCGTACGAGGCTCCCCGTATTGGTACCACCCTAAATCAAACTGCAAGGACCACGACCCACAAACCCGGTACACACAGATCCATCGGCAAGGAAGAGACTAAAAGCTCGAGTCTACTTTTATACGCAGCACGTTTGGGCAGAGCCTGCCCAAGTTAGCTTGCCTTTAGCCCCATTGCGACTACTGTAGGTAGGATGGCCTGTACAATCCGCGTATTTTTGTCATACATTTGGTTCAGGCCCCAAATCATTCAAGGGCCATAATCCCGTGAAGCAGGCACTTCATGTGTGGTAACAGCTTTAATTCGACCTAGGTAACAACCTAAGTAAAAATGACTAATTAGTGTCGAGGCCTAACGAACCAGCAACCCCACTTTCTTTGTGATCGTACGATGTACAGAATCCGGGCTGACGGCTAGTTGGAACAGGTGATGTGCTAAAAGAGAGCGGCGCTGCTGCCTTGTTTTCCAATTTCATACTCATAATTGAAATCGGCACTTGTATGTCCTTTGAGGGATAGCACGGCACATCTGAGTGTTAAATATACAAGGAGGCCGTTGATAGCCATATGTGTACAACGCCCGTCCCGCCGGGCCGAAGATAGCTCAAGCCGGCTATTCGCTGACATCAGCAGCTCAGGCCACCCGCTTTACCATAGCAACGGCAAAAACGAACAAGGCAAAATCCAACTCAATTTAGACCTGTCCTATTTACGCGGTGCAAAAAGTCTTCTCTTGGTAGGGAGGAGGATGGGAGATTTGCATTAACCAACCAGCCTGCAACAAAACCCCCGGCACAGCACATACAAGAACTGGGCCAACTGGCAGTGCTAGAGACATCCGCAGACCTCTGTGCCTCAGACAAGCGACCAATGAACAAAACCACATGCGAGAACCATCCATGAGGAAGGGGAGGGCAGAGATTCAAGCCACGAAAAATCCCACTTCCCAGCTCACTCAAGAGCTAGTTATAGTGAAATCTCGAGGGCCTTGCTGCTTCCTAGAAAATGGCCCAACATCATCACATGGTATGCCCAACGGATGTCGTTCGTCCAGGAGAGAACGCTTACGAGCTGGCAACCTTCTGCGCCTGCTCCCGCACCTTAGCCTGCAGGTAGGAATGCAGACACAAGCAACGTTTCAGGTTGGAACAGCGCTTCCACGTTACCGTTTCATAACTAATCCGAAGCGACAATAAATTTGGTCATTGTGAGCGTGCTTCCACATCGCTGACTTCGAGGGGACGCCCAGTCGTTCCCATTCACGAAAATCATTAGAATATCCCCTCATTCCTTGCACTGCTTTGCGCACCAGTGCACCAGCTCAAGAGGCATGGAAGTAATCCCAAGGCATGACCTTGACGCTTACCAGCAGCTTCTTCTTCGTCTTCAGGGAAATGCCCTGCTTCTTGGTGCCCTCCAGGGTGTAACTCTCCATGGAGGCAGCGGTGGGGCTCTTCGGCGAGTTGCCACCGCCAACCACCAGACCGCCGGTGAACTCCTGGGATGGGATGCGGATGGCCTCAGCCTGCTGAGGCGCGACCAGCAGAGCGCCAGCAACGGCTGCGATGGGAGCGGGACATACAGAAGCCAAGCTCGGTGACAGGTTGTCCTGGATAAGCATGACCTTTACAGGGCATGCGACTTGACACCTCCGCATGAAAGACACGACTGATCCTAACATTTACACAATCAAAGATTTCCAGAGATCGGCTTGCGCGGACAGCCGACCTTCATATGGTCCCGCAATACCTCGCTGCGACCCGTCAGCAACAGGAGTGATAGGTTTAACCAGAGGCAAGATTTCTAGGCCACGGCTGGCGAAAACGTACAATAACCCTTTGCGTAATAACAATAATGTAATGACGATGCATTTCATATGCCTGGGAACTTTCGTCACCCATGCCAGCGCACGCATTCATACTGGCACGCATCATGCCCGGAGATATAAAATAGGACCCTATCAAACTTACCGCCAGCCAGCAGGCCCACCAGGACGCGGCGAGGCTGCTCAGCGCTGGCGCGGACGACGACAGCAGCGCGAGCTGGGCGCACGCTCTGCAGGGCAAGCAAATTGCTTGTTAGTATTACACTATGCATTTGCTAGGACCACAGTAGCCTGATTGGCACGCCATGGACAAGTTCTCTGTTTGCACTGTAAGCAAGGTCTCACCGCGCGAGCAACGTTGCAGCGCATCATGGTGGCCATCTTGAGCTATGAATCAGGTATTGACACACGGCGGACACAACAGGAGGGCCTGGAGGTTTGTAGAAGAAAGATCATTGGGACAGATGGCTCCGGAGTCTGGACACTCCAGGGTAGGCGCTGCCAGAAGGTGCACAGGCGGAAGACATTGTCCAGTTTCAATTTCATTTGTGTAATGTAACGCATGACATGTTTCAATCCATGAGATATGCGGTGCGGCTTTAGTGCAAAGCCCTACAACTAGCTCCTGTTTGGCGCGAATTTGTCTTACACTTCAACATGTCTAGTGCATCGGCAAATGACGAACCGGAATTCACTTTGTATCAGCAAGAGCTAGACACCGCTTTTCACTCCAGAAGCGATCCGTTTCCAGCAGGAACTCCGGAACATGCTGAGCTATTGGCTTTTATTTGCAAATTGCATAAGCTGCAGAAGTCCAGGTAAAATTGTAGCGCACTAAGCAGAAACTTTCGGGCTGGGAGCTATATGATTCGGCGTCAAACCCCGGCCCCCTTAGTTCTATCTTTACACGTTGGCCTCTTCCTCCTCATAATCCGATCCCCACCAATTTTTTCCATCAAGTCCTCTCGTTGTTGATATATCAACATACATCCCCACCAGCCTAAACTGGTAAAAGAGCCTTGCACACTGCAACGGGTTGACCGGGTAATGCTCCTCACAAACGTGGCGGACCCTCTGGAACCCGGAACACTGTAGCAGCCCTTTGCCAAGGGACCCGAACGCTGCCTTGCAAACCTCGCTTCTCCGTAGTATCTCACGTTCTCACCTTCGAAACGCAGCCAAAGCCATGTAATATTCTCACAGCCCTAAAGAGACAACAGAAAAAGCAATCACCAACCGTACCACCGTACCAGGATGGGAAATGCTACCGCAGCTACAGGCGCCGAAACCGGCGGCGGCGGGCCCGCCGACCCGCAGCTGGCACAGCGCCTGGGTCTGCCGTTGTCGTACGACGCCAGGTTCCGCATCAGCGCCTCGGTCGTTGCGCCGCAAGAGCGCCTGGCGGCGGCGGTGCGGGCGATTGCACGGCGGATGGCCCAGCGCGCGGCAGCCAGAGCTCCGTCAGACCGCACCAGGCAAGGGGCCGCTGGCGGTGGTGGCGGTGCTACTGCCGGCGGTCCCTCGAGACCCACCCGCCGCCCAGGAGACGGCCGCGACTCGGGCGACCGCGGCGGGGGAGTGACTCCGGAGATGGTGGAGGCGGCGTCCCAGGTGTGTGGTGTGTGGTGCATCGCACCTTCTTCAGGACGGTGATGGGCGGGAGGTGAGTGGTTGGTGGATTCTGGTAGTGGTGGTGGTGATGGGTATGGCGGGAACTTGACTTCTGCCCAGGCCCCTCGGCTTTGCCTTTGCCCGTGTACTTTCTGATGCTGCATGGCGCCGCCCCCTCTCTGCTCTGGTACCAGTACCCCGTCATGCAGTGCACCCCCCCCCCGACCCCCCCCCCCTGGTGTATTCCGGTGCCAGCTGGTGGGGGAGTACAGGCGCCTGCTGCCCTGGTTCGAGGACTTCTTCCAGCGGAGACAGGTGCGGGGGCCCCCGGACGCGAAGGCGCCAGGCGGGGTGTGTGTGTGGGGGGGGGGAGTGCTCGTCCTGCGAGGAAAGGGAACCTTCCTGCCAAGTAGTAGTAGTAGGAGGAGGAGGAGGAATAGGAGGAGGAGGAGGAATAGGAGGACGAGGCGTGAGGTGGATGTGTTCTGTCTTTACGCACATATGTGAGTCAGTCATTTCTGGCGGGGGGGGGTAGGGTTTTAAACATCTTTGAGGCTAGGGCCCTGCTTAGGAAGCGAAGAGGCAACGAGTTGTGCGGATGATTTGATGAGAGGAACCGCCCGGGGGAAAGGGGGGTTACGGCAGTGCAGTGCAGTGCAGTGCACGGGTGAGCAGGGCTACCGGGGGAAGGAGCCACTAGCGCAGTCGCGATAGAGGTTACTGAATTCATGGAGTGTGGAGCGATGATGACGGGGTACGGCTTATGTGTGCATGTATACGTATGGTGCGTGCTTACATACACAGCACGCGTATGGTGCGTGCTTACATACACATACAAATACACACATACACACGTACCTCGTTCGTTCATTTCCTCCGCAGATTTCCCGGCTCCGCAAGTTGCAATCCGACCGGCTAGCCCTCCCCGCCGCGGGGTTCCGCGGGTCTGTCCTGAGGGCGCTTGAGGGGTCTCAGGCGCTGGTGGTGGCGGGGGACACAGGTGGGGGGGGGTCGGGGGGGCCGGCGTTAGGGGAGCGTGGTGGTATGGGGGGAGAGGGAAGGAGAGAGGAGGAGGAGGAGGAGGAGGCCGGGGGGAGGCGCGTTATGTTCAGCATGTCCGTTTGTTGCAGCATACCACTGAACCATCGGTCCTTGGGGTCTGCCTGGACTCAATCACCCAACCCCTACCCCTACCTCTACCTTGCCCTTTTCACCGGTCTCACTTTTCCCTCGTTCCTTGCCTTTCTGTCTAGCGTGTCACCTGCCCTAACCTTGCCGGATACAAACACAAACACACACACATGTCCATGCTCCCCTCCAACTTAACCACCAACGGTTAATAACCACTAAAGGTTAAGGCCTGACTTCTGCTCCCGGTCGACCCGGGTTCAAATCCGCCTGCCGACCTCTCGGGTGTTTGAGAGGTGGTGAAATGGGAGGTGGCCCCCCATCTTGTGGACGGTGTAGGACGTCATAAAATCAACTTGCGAGCTGACCAGGAACTAAGTTGAGGCGCCGTTGATCCGCTAGATTTGGTTGGATGCTGGTGGTGAGTTGCCAAACTCATGAAGTCGGATGGGGTGAATGGCTTAGGGTGCCCCTCTAGCAGGGGAGAGCAGGGAATTGCCTCGGGAAGGAGGCCACTGGTGAAGCTTAACCACCCTGTAACAACATCAACAAACACACACACGCGCAGGTTGCGGCAAGAGCACCCAGATTCCGCAGTACTTGGCGGCGGTGGCGGGCGGGTCCCGGTACCGCCGGATTGCGGTCACCCAGCCTCGCCGTATCAGTGCCGTATCCCTGGCCAGGCGGGTCGCGGTGGAGTCCTGTGATGCTCACGGCACTACCGTGGCCTACAAGGTCAGGTTCAGCAACAGTGTGGCAGGTAGGTACGTGAGGGGGTGTGTGTGCTGGGAGACGGGGGGCCCTGATGGGGCACGTGGGGTGGTGTTATGGGGCGGAGTTGCGAGTGAAGGGGTGGGGGTCGGGCCCGGACCCGGCGCCCCACAGCTTGTAATTGGGTCGGGTACGGCAGTGTCAGTGTTGCGCGGGGTCGCTTTTGGGTTTGTATCGCCTTTTTGCGTGCGTGTGTAAATGAAGGTGTAAGGGTGGGGGGATGTGTGTGTGGGGGGGGGAGAGGGGGAAGCAGACTCATTACGGGGTGCGGTGAAGAGAGGTCTGTTTGCTTGTAATGTAGTCGTTAGGCTGGGGCATGCGGGCGGAGTCAGGAGACCGAGGTGCAGGCGGCGAAACGCGGGCTGCTTTGCTTACCCGCCTTGCCTTGCCCGCCTTGCCTGGGCCCGCTGACCTACCCAGTTCTCCCCCCCCGACCTGTGCGGGTCGTCCCCCCCCCCTGGCACAACTCGGTTCCATCGGTCCTGTCAGCCGACAGCCGCATTGTGTTTTGTACGGAGGGTATTTTGCTCCGGGAGCTTGCGGGCGATCCCACGCTGGCGGCGTACGACGTCGTGGTGTTGGACGAGGTACGAATGTCACTGCTTCTAAACATGTCCATTTTCGACCATCAATCATATACATATATATACATACATACGTACGTACCACATGTTAGGGCGGCACGTATGGCACTTTTGTGTGGGCCCCATTACGAAGGGGTCACCAGCGTAGTAGCGATGATCTCCTTCGATGAACATCGCGACCGCACGGAAAGTAGTTGGCCGGGAAGTGAAATTGAAAGTGAGGGAGTTGCACCACACGCGGTCGTACCACACTCTGGCCGGAAGTGACCCGCGGGTCATTGCAATTCCTCTACTGGCGCCCGCTCGCCATGATTCGGCCCCTGGGCGGGCCCCCTGCAGGTCCACGAGCGCCACCTGACGACGGACTTCTTGCTGGCGCTTCTTCGCGCCCTGCTGCTGCAGCGCCCCGAGCTGCGGCTAGTCCTGATGAGCGCCACCATCAACTGCGCGGCCTTTGCGGAGTACTTCGGGGGAGCACCCATTGTGCAGGTGCTTGTGTATGTGTATGTGATTTGTCAGTCTGTTTGTTTGTTGTCTGACTGTCTGTTTCTCTTGGAAAGGAGAACCGCGCCTGTATGTCTGTATGTGCGTTGTGTACAGGGGCTCCTGGAAATACAAGTGGAGAGGCACTGACGCCACCTCGCATTCGGTGTTCCTGTGTGTGTGTGGGATGTGCCAGTGTGTGTGTGTGTGTGTGCGTACGTGTGTCTCCCCTTAGGCCCTCCATTTGCGTGATCTTGCCAACTTGAGTCTGCCCGTGCGACTGCTTGTTATCTGCTCCCCACCGCTCTCCATAACCCCCCTGACCCCCCTAACCCCCCTGACCCCAGATCCCGGGCCGTCTGTATCCGATCCAGCTGGTTTACGTGCCCCCGGAGGCGGCGGAGTCCGAGGAGGCTCTGAGGCGCCGAGACGGGGCACGACGTCGCGCCGGAGGAGCTGGCAGTGGCGGCAGCAGCGGCAGCAGGTGCGTCGCGAAGAGGAGGAGCGAGGAGCCAAGCTCGCGGGGGTTCCCTCTTTCGCGGGCTGAATGCAGCGGGTGAATCACCGCGGGTTATCACGGCGGATGAGGTCTCTGCAACAACCAATCCTCTTCAGGATAGCAAGGCTTTGCGATCCCGGGTATAAGAACAATATTATATTATAAAAATTATATAAGTTACATGTATTCTGATAGTATTATATGTTCTCCACATTTTTACTCATAGTGGTCTTCTGTGCCCTGGTTGATGTGCCGCCCCTCCTGATTACTTTTGAACTTGCCTGGTGGTTGCATGCGGCTCGCGGAGAGCGGAGATCCAACCAAATCTCTGCCCCTCCCTGCCTCTCACACCCCCCGCCCTGCCCTCTGGAGTGTACCCGTCTATATGTCTGGTGTACCTGCTTCGCTGGTCCGTGGTTTATCTTAACCCCCGCCCCCCACACACAAACGACCCGCGCCCCGGCTCACCTGGTGTATCGACTCATTGGCCGGTGGTGGCCTCCTCGCTGCGCCGTCCGCCCGAGCAGGTCGGCTGCCAGCCCCGCCTCCGATCAGATAGATCCCGCACCTTACCTGCGACTGTTGCAGAGGATAGATTCTGAGGTGGGGTGTGTGGGTGTGTGTGTGTGGGAGAGTGGATGAACGCGGGTGGCGGGGTGTGTACTCCGGGCTTCTCTTACCTGCCGCCTCCCCCACCTGCCCTTCGTTCTACTTCTTTTCGTCCGCTCTTACTTTAGCCTCGGCGGCTAGGTAGGTAGGTTTCCGCGGTCATCATCATTACATCAGCCCGAGGTCGCCGCCTTTAAGAACGCCTACTGGTCAGTTCTGCTTCTTGTAGACTCTTTCCTTGGCAGCAGCTTCACTCGTTCGTGGTTCGTCTTTCCCCTCCTGCCCCGTTCCCTACTACCCACCGTGTATACAAGGGGGAGGGGGAGGTAGTTACGAGTTCCGCAAAGAAATGCGGGGGGGGGTGTCCGTAATAGCCGGGCGGCCCATGGGCATGTATATGTGGGCCTTTTGCCCGGGCTTTGGCAGTGTGAACGTGTTTTTGTGTGTGATGATGTGTGATAACACACACGCGCGCAGATCCCCTCCAGCCAAAGAGGCGACCTGCTGATCTTCGTGGCGGGTACGGCGGACATTACGGCACTCTGTACGGCACTTGCGCCGTACGCGGAGCAAACTCGCAGGTATATACGTGCATGTCCCAACAGCTCCCCAGCGCGCACTGGCAGCCTGACATATCTCCCATGCTCCCTCGGGAGATATGTCCTCCTCGTCTTTCTTCCGCTTTGTGGTGCATCATCATCATCATCATCATCATTGCCATCATCATTGCGCAAATCATCTCCACGTCTCACTTCTCGCTGCTTTACCACCGCATAGTCCTATCTCGTATTAAAACAACACTCCCGGCCCCCTGTCGTACAACTCGGGCTGCACCCTCCGCCGTTTTGCACACAACGTTATCTGGGCTTCTACCTGCCTGCCTGCCTGCGGCCTGTGTTTGGAGCTCCTAGCTCCCATATCAGGTTATTCACTCCCGCTCCCCCCCACACACAGATGGGTGCTGCTGCCCCTGCACGCCGCACTGCCCCTGGAGGCCCAGGAAAAGGTGTTTGATGTGCCGCCGGATGGTGTACGGAAGGTGAGTCAGTCTGTCTGTCAGTCTGGTAGCATAAGGGGCGGCTGGCTGGCTGCCTGCCGGCCTGCCTGCCTGGCTTGGCCAGGTCGTTGATAAGGCAGGTATTGCAGTGCAATATGAGAGCGAGGTTCCGCAAACGTAAGGAGCGGGAAAACTGAATGTCAGATTAGAACGTGTGCCTATGCGTGAATGCATATGTATGCATGTATGTATGTATTTGTGCCTATTCATCAGGCGATTATTTCCACCAACATTGCGGAGACCTCCCTCACCATTGACGGGATTCGCTTCGTGGCGGACAGCGGCCGGGCCAAGGAGATGATACACGATGTCGCCAGTGGCGGGGGGAGTCTGCAGGTGAGCCATCAGGGTTCCTGGTGCTGCTGGTGCCGGGGAGTTGGTTCCGTAGTAGCACGTCGTGGTGGGCGCGCAAGTTTTTAGCCACTGGGTTGCCACTGGGTTGCAACTGGGTGGGCGCATGTGCTCGTTTGTGTTCCTATTACATACACGTGGTTGGGCAAGCCGTTGTATAAAGATGAGATCAGTGGTCAAATGGTACAGGTACAGGTTCATGTCTTGAGGAGTTCCAGCCCTCCCCGCCCTCCCGAGCTGGTGGTGGTGGTGGTGGTGGTGGTGGCGACCGTCTGCTGCCTCCGGTCGGGACGTGTGCTGACCCGAACCCCAACCTCCGCTTCGTGACTCCCGCCCCCTCTACCCCCGGGTCCCTCCTCACCCCTCCAGGAAGGGTGGATCAGCCGGGCCAGTGCAGACCAGCGCAAGGGCAGGGCGGGCAGGACTGGACCGGGGACCTGCTACCGGATGTACAGGTAGAGGTGCGGGTGCGGGTGGCTGGGGGATGGGTTGTGCCCATGCGAGCGCAGGGGCCCCCAAAAGTAAAATCTTCAGGTAGGCCCTTGTGCCCTTTGTTGTGTCATCCTGCCTCTATTCGTAGTTCTATTGGTCTACATTACTACATACTTGCCATCCTCCCCTTAGCCCTGCCTTGCACCTGCTGCCCCCCACGTGCGCTTATGTTGACCCTGCTGGTGTCGTGCTGTCGCCCGGGGGGACGGGACATACTTCTGTCCTGCTTTTGCGGATGGGTCGGCGGATTTAATACGGCTATCGGCTGGTTGGCAGCGAAGCGCTGTATAACGAGATGCGCGCGTTCAGCGCGCCGGAAATCGCTCGAGTACGGCTCGAGGTGCGGTACATGGGGAAGGGAGGGAGAAGGGGAAAAGGGGAGGCGGTCCCTGACCTGTTTCGCAGTTTCCCCGGTGTCCGCTGAGTCCTAGTAGTCCTAGTAGTCGCATGTGGTCTCATACCTTGCAGGTCTCTTACACCACACCCTTGTTGGCATAATGGTTGGCGTTACACTGCTCGTCGTTGTGTTGTGTTTCCAGGCGGTGGTCTTGGGCATCAAGGCGATGGCGGGCAGCGGCATGGACCCGCGGGCATTTGGGTTCATCGACCCGCCGCCCCCGGACCGCTTGGAGGCGTCCATTACGAACCTCAAGCAGGTGAGTCGTACCTGACGTCGTACTTGTCGTCGTCTGGAGAGACTCCTCAACCTCGTTCAGCCAATTCTGGTTATCTAACGGCCCCGGTACGACTCCTCGCTCTGCACCTCGCCCTCTCATCTCAATCCTAAGACCGCCTCCTCACACGTCCTCCTCCTCCTTTCCTTGACCTCCCCTAGATCGGTGCGCTGAACCGGTCGGAGAAGCTGACGCCGTTGGGGGCGGTGCTGAGCCTGCTGCCTGTGGACGTGTCCATTGGCAAGCTGCTGGTGCTGGGCTGCGTGTTTGGACTGGCAGGTAAGTGGAGTCACCCCCGGCGGGACAATGGAACGGTACGGAGGATTGATGCGCTAGGTAGGGGAGAAGGTTACTCACACAAGCCTCAAAACAAGACGGACGGACGGACAGACAGACAAGCTGAACGGTGTTGGAAAGGGAACCCGGATCTGGAAATTCCCGTTCCGGATAATGACACGGACCGAAACCCAAACGAGAGCGGGCCACGAAAAGCTGGAAGGCTTATGACTAAAAGGGGGAGAGAGGCCAAGTTCATGTTCTCGGGTTGTAGGTGAGCTTCACAGTGGGTGTGGAGGGGATATCACGAGCTTTTCCGTTCGGCAGCAGCAAGGAGACTTGCTCGCGGTGCACATCAGCACTGCCATATATCCTGGTGTGGGCAGGCTTTCCTCCCGCTTGCCTTCTTTTGTTTGTCTGTCTGTCTGTCTGCGCCTCTTGGCTTCTGGATTCCCCCCTCTTTCCGCCTGCGCTAGTGCAGAGGCTCCAGTGGTGACGGGGACCATCGCAAACTGGGCAGGGTGGGGTTTCCCTCTCCCTCGCTTTCGTCTGACAGCCCCTGGCCGGTCGGTCGGTTGCACGTGGCTCTTGTCGGAGGCATTGTGTCATTGGCAATTGCTCGCTCAGGCACATGACCGCCACGTCAGCATTATATGGTGGGGTCGTCGGAGACGCCGTTTTAGTGTAGAGGTCTCTGGTCATGTCTTGGTGTTTCGATTACGTGCCAGGACTTGTGTTGGTTTGCGTGCTGGAAGTGCGAGGAGGTTGCGCCTGTACCAGTCCTTCGGGATCCTTCCGAAAGCGCCCTGCCGTGCTATACGGTTTGCGATGGTCCCCGTCGCTGCTGGAGCTTTCTCTGGGGGGGTGGCACCTTGGGTGCCGTACGAAAGGGGGAGGGATAGGGCGGGGCAACAGAACCGAAGGCGTGTAAACCGGATTCGCCTTCAAATGTAAACCAGATTCAGTACAATCCGTCGAAGGGATTCGACTGCTGGTTAAAGTGGGTGAGGTAAATGCCAGTGGCTGGGTGCTGCTGCAGTGGCCCTCTGGTCTTCCAGTCTCACTCCCCCATTGTGGACAACTTGGTGCCAGCTTTGTAACCCCTGCCGTGAAAGATGATCGTTCCCTGGTTCCAACTGGAAGATTCGTCCGGCCTTGTTATCCGTCAGCCCCTTACATGCAGACTGCTAGCAGCAACGATGGCAGTGACGTAACTAGTGCTCAAAGCACGGACACTCGACGGAAAGCACCAACCCTTGCGTATCGGTATACCCCCCTTCACATAGTGCGAGCCGTCTGCAATGGCTTCCGTAATGAGATGACCACGCTATCTCTTGGCATTGCACGGGGCACGGGAAATCTGTGTTTTTGGTAGGATATGGCAAGAGGCTAGGTGGCAAAATGGCTGAACAACCTCAAGACGTACTGACACCTGGGGAGTGATTGCGTGAATGCCGTATAGTTCGCGGCTGCCAGTCCATGCCGTCTGTCGCGGTCTAGCGATCAAAGACACAGGAAAACAGGGGTGATACTCGTAAGGATAGACGACCAGATAAATTTGTGCTCGTAACTTAATCGCGACGCCTATGAAGGCAGAAAAGTAGATACGAAGGAGCAGTCATGTGCTTCCAGAACAGTAAGGTAACGGCGTTATCCCGAAATGGGACTATCGCCACAAGAAGGATGCCCTTAGCCTCACTGCGTGAACTCTGTCTACATTTATTGTCAATACAAAGTATGGTTGTATGCCGAAGCGTAGACCATTGAGGAAACTGTCTGCTCTCAGTGAAACACCAAGATGATGTATCGAAAATGCCTTAAAAACATATAACAATATAAAATATGCTATCAACGTAAATTGCATTAACATACAGCAGTCGTCCGAATATGAAGTTTTGCCACAAAAGGGCCCCTCCGGGATCGAACCGGAGACCTGCTGATCTGCAGTCAGCTGCTCTACCACTGAGCTAGAAACCCGATACTGGAGCTTATGGGGATCGATCCCATGACCTCACGCATGCGAAGCGCGCGCTCTACCACTGAGCTAAAGCCCCTGTTGAATTTAATCGCTTATTGCAATCTTATATTACCAAAAATCCCGCGACACACATGCAACGAGGCCGGTCCCGAGGCTGCCGTAGCTCCCGGCCCGAGCCATTCGGGGTCGCCTCTGTTGCCCGCTGTTTTAGGTTGCGTGCACGGGCGCGCGGGTGCGTGCGCGTGCGTGCACGTTGAATGCATGCGGGGGCGTGCGTTCGGGTGCGTTCGGGTGCGTCCCTATCCCTCCCTATCCTTTCTTCCCTATCCCTCCCTATCCTTCCCTATCCCTCCCGGACGCACGCACGGACGCACGGACGCAGATTTTTCTCTAATACCAAAAATCCCTCGACTCACATGCAACCGACGCGTGCTGCCAGGGGGGACCACATCAGGGGACCATCCTAGAGCATCATTGAGGCCCCGAAACCCCTACCATGTCGAAACTGCCGAAGGCTCGTTGTGTTGCTCGACTTTGTCGCTTTCATGTGCCTCTCAGAAGGATGGATGCAACATGTGCTCGGTGTAGTTGGGTACTTTGCCAAGCGCGTGCGGCTGCGAGCCAGTCCAAAGGTGTAGCGCCTATGCACCAATCCATCATGAGATTCGGTAACGTGCAGCAGCGAATGTTGTGCAGCGAGTATTGTACAGCAAGTAATCGATATCGTGAAACAAGTAGCGCGGAGGGTCAAGTTTGTATGAGGATTTCGAACGCCTCATTGCATTTGGCCCCGTTAAAGAAACTTTCGACACTTTAGAAGAGTTATTATGTTATTGACGTAACCCACGAGCTGTGGTCATGAGATTCCGAGTCGGGATCCAGGATCCATAATCAGCGTAGCTGTTTTTTCATGCAGAGCCTGAAAGGAGGCTTCACACTTTTTCACGCACCAGTCGTTATGTGGCCCTTAATGATGCCGGATGTTGTACCTGGGCGTTGGGGTCGCCTGACGTGCCGCATACATAGCCTCACATAGGCAACCGGACAGCACCGGTCACGGTCTACACTTTGGGGGCCAAAGCTCATGCCAAACTACCACTTTCACAAAGCATAATGGTCCTTGGGGTCCTTGCGGGTTTCCCGCGACCGGACACAACTGGAAATGATTAGCGGGAAAATCGAGAATTAAAGCGCTCACAAACCCTTTGAACTGCTTCAAGCGGATTAGCAAATGGCGCATGCAATGCTTCCGCGTCGGTTCTTTAGCACGGGACTGCACGGGCGGCTTTGTTTAAGGAACCACAACGACATTTACCGCGCCCCAACTTGCAAAGCAAGCATAGAAAACTAAAATCTACACCCCTACATTCGTACATCTGTGCATTCGTACAAATGTACTTCCTCACTCAATTTTGATAAGTGGCCGTGGCGCCCAATGGTGCCGTGCTCACAGGGCCCACACTGACTCTGGCCGCTGCTCTAAGCGTCCAGTCGCCGTTCCTCAAACTTGGTGATGAGGAGCACGACCAGGTACGTGCCTAATTGGGCCTTCACATGGTCTAAGTGCCTGATCGGGCCTCTGTCCGTCTAGAGCATCAATCCTGGATCCGGAATCCAAATTTAGATTCTGGGGTTCTAAGTCTTGTCGGCTCCGTACGCTTCCCAGGCCTGATCCCCTAATCCAGATTTAACCCACTCTCAAAGTTCCCTCCCCGATAATTAACACCCCAGGAGGCTAAGGCCGCACGCGCGGCTCTGGTCTCCCCGCACGGTGACGCGCTGACCCTGCTCAATGTGTTCGAGGCATGGCTGGCGGTCAAGCAGGGAGTTCCAACCAGCGGGGTTGGTGTCGGGTTTGGGAGCGGGGGGTCTTCCCGAGGGGGGTCGAGCCGCGGCGGCGGCACCGCTGGACAGCTCACCAGCAGCGCCCGCTGGTGCAGGTGAGTACGAGTGTACGGCGCTTGGGGAAGATGGCTCGGCTGTCCGGTGGCAAAGGCGGGCAGGTTTGTAGACCTGCAAGTCTCCCTAACTGGGCGGGCGACATCCGGCATCTAGCGGCTGATTCCACACTATATGGCTTACATTGACTGACAGCGTCCCCTGAGGGAGGAATGTTGTGTATGTATGTATGTATGTATGTATGTATGTATGTATGTATGTATGTATGTATGTATGTATGTATGTATGTATGTATGTATGTATGTATGTATGTATGTATGTATGTATGTATGTATGTATGTATGTATGTATGTATGTATGTATGTATGTATGTATGTATGTATGTATGTATGTATGTATGTATGTATGTATGTATGTATGTATGTATGTATGTATGTATGTATGTATGTATGTATGTATGTATGTATGTATGACGTTGATTACACTGTGGGCTGAAAAGCCGGGGGCCCAGGGCCGAAGCACAGCGCGGGGGGCGGGTGCATACGGCTGGTTAGTCTCATGCACTCCGCCCCCGGGTCAGGCCGCACGGGAAACGACGGCCGGCACGCAACAGCGCTTGTTTGGCGCTCCAACTAGACGGGATCTATGCCCGTTGGTCTCCTAACATAAACGAAGTCGCAACTGGGGGGCTCTTCCTGCCGACCGAACGAACCGAGCATCTCAGAGAGCTCGCTACCAGGACTTGGGCGACCGGGAGCCCGACGAGTCTTCCCGGGCTGGGGAGGTCACCAAGCTCAAAAA